CCCTTCCCTCCCCTCCCCTCCCCTCCCCTCCCCTCCCCTCCCCCTCCTTTCTTTTTTCTTCCTTTTTTTTTTTTTTTAAATCTCTCTTTATTCCTGTATTTTGTTGCTGAAACTAGAATGATCCTGTTTCCCTGTGAGGAAATGTGAGAATACATTTGTGTAAAACATCTTGATACGTAGTAACTGACAGAAACTAGAAGACTGAAGACTTGAAGCATGTAAGAAGAAGCTAGCTGTTCTCTGTAGCTCGGATAGATATTGAACTGAAATTATAGCAAGATAGAAGCTGATGGGGCAATAGAGAAAACTTTCTGACGAGGAAGGGTGGTGAAGCCTTGTATTACACCACAGCAGAAGGGATAGAGGCTCCAGTACTGAAGGTCATTAAAAACAGGTTAGGTAAACATCTCTCTAGCCTTACACATGCAGGAATGATCATGACTTGAGGAAAAGAAATAGTTTGGATCTCTGTCTGGTTTTGGGCTTGGTCTGAAGAGATGATTGAAAAGGCTGAAAGTTCCTGTGGTTAAGAGACACTGTCTCAGTGATCTGTCAGTGTCACTTAGGAGTTCCTGATCACATGAGACCATAGAAATGTGGTAGCAATCATGGCTTATGAGTGTGTCTTTTGGGGGTAGAGAAGGGGTGTGTGCAATGCCAATAAATGTGCAGTACTAATGTACATAAAAATATAGGCTTCAGAAAATCATTGAAGAGTTCTAGAAATAGGAATGAATAATGCAGTGAGAAGTGAGGAGGAGAGGAAAAACTCATTAAGGCAAAATGCAGATTTCAAGTGAATGCCACTAGTATCAGTGGAATGACCAATGGATCTTAGGAGCATGGTGTGGGCTAAGAACAGAATTGTCCCTTAGTGCTATCTATCACTGTTATGCAGATGCTCCACAGCAGAGCTTATGAACAGCCAAGGTTTCTGTTCTTAAGCACTGCAGACATCTGTAACATTTCTGCCTGTGTGGGAGGACTGAAAGAGGGGAGGCATTTGAGAATATCAGTGATATTCGGCTCAGTTTCTTCCCAAACAGAAAAACTCAAATTATTCTGTGCTGAACTGGGACCAACTTTTCTTAAGCCTCTCAGCCAGCCATCCTGTCAAAATGAAATTCATTCTCACATTCTCAGATTTGCTGAATGCCCTTTGAACAACTACAGATTCTGCTACCGTAATGTACAACAGGTACATTACAGTAACAGAATCTCAAAGATGTATTTAGGAAAATCCCTTATGTGGAAATCTCTATTAAGTTGTGTACTTAGGCAGGGATTTTCTAAACTTTAACCTGGATCACTTTGAAAGTGAAATTCTTGTTGGTTTTTCTGAGAATTAAGAGTTCAATTTTTCTTATCCAGTCTCTTTAGAGGTTTTCAGCCATACATTATATCAAATAACTAAAACCACCGACATTTTCAGCTAGGGAGACTTCTGATCCAATTGTCCAGTTCATTTCATAAGCACTAGAAAGCTTAGAGGACCAGCACCATGGGGAGAAGCAAATGCTGGAAGGCCTCTTTGACACACATCATTGTGTCAATGGGCATTTACAAGACAAAAATCAACATCCTTTGTCTGTGGGGTCGCATGCCATAGGGCATTAAAGCTCTTTCTGCAGGCTAAAAATGCAGAAACAAATGCTTAAGGGGACCCAGTGAAAGTGTCATCCCTTGCTGTGCTGCGGTACTGTGGCCACACACCAGAGCCTTCGGAATTTCTTGTGGCTGTCTGGTGCATCACTCTGCTGCCTCCAAGGGTGAGAACTTGAGGGCAGGCGAGTTCTCTGCTACACTGCTGCTTTGTACTCCATTTGTGGCAGCTCGTGCATCAAGGGGAGTCTTTACTTAAACCAGGCGGAGCGGCCTGGTGGGGAACCTGCCTGGTGTTGTTCTGCAAGGAAACCACTAGAGAGCAGTGTCAGAGTGCTCTGGCCGTGCCCCGCAAGCACCGCCAGTAGAGGAAGCTTTCCTGGTCTGTTAGGGTCCCAGTAACAACAGCATTCAGACTCTGAGTCGCTTAAAATGATTTTGGAGCTCTCACTGTAAAATGAGAATAGTATGTGTAATCTTACATCCCTGTGGATACCAGGAGCCGGGAGCAGCGTAGCATTGAGTAGGATGCCAATCCATGGCAGGATGAACATACTATGCATAGTAGAGATTTATACATCAAGAACTTAAGCTTTAGCTACTGATTTCACAAATTACAACACAGTCCTGATAAATGGTGGCTTTTTTTTTTTTTTTAAGTGTCTTCAGCTTGTTATTGAGACAAGAACCATCTGGAAATTTTGAATGTCAGAATAAATAAGTATTTTCAAGGATATCTATTCATTACAGTAATTTTTTTTTAGTTTATTGCTCCAAATTGCTTTCCTAAACTACTTGAAAACACCTAACAACTCTTGTTCAGCAACATTTTATCTATTGTTTTTATTTACTACAAGCATAATATATTCATATTTTAATTATATGATTATTGAAACATTAATAAGAATGCATGTTTTTAACAATATCTACAGTTATGGTACTCACATTTTTAAAAAAATCTTTATTTTCACTCTGGTTTTTTTATGGTAGAAGTTATTATTGGGTTAATTAATGAAATGGAAATGATGTAGCTAGGAACTACCTGAGCACAGCCAACACAACAGAAATACATCCATAAACAAAAAGTGTGACCTAGTGGTTAGCGTGCAGGACTTTCACTGCTGCGACCACGGGTTCGATTCCCCGGTCTCCTGGCCTGATGGAGGTCGTTAGCCCTGTGTGGCCATCCATCTATGAGAAGGACACTCTAAAACAAACCTACGTCCTGAGGACCTCACTGCCATTGTCCAAGCTTGCTTGGCCCCGGCAGATGAACCTTAGGATTAAAGGGTGGGCTCAGTTCAGCGCAGGCTGTGTCTCACCTAAAAAATCCATTGCGCAGGCTTGAAAGGTAGAAGACCTTTCCCCAAATCTTCGTTCGCGAAGATGGGCCATCATTTATTATTATTATATATATATATTTATATTATTTAATAAACTTAATTTCAGTAAGTAGAAATTTCCCAGAATTTTTTTCAGATTAAGAGATCCTTCAAAAAGAAGAGGCCAAAGAACCGTGTTATTTCACTTAGCAAGTCAAGCAGCAGTAGGTAATCTATGGTACACTGGGTCTGACTGTGATAATAAACTCATTTGCGGTACGATGTAATGCTAAGATGTTAATGCAAATTATGTAACTGCATATAACTTACAAACACAAAAAGGAGCAAATGTAAAGCAAATATTATTAGGTTTGAGATGACCATCTCACTTTATTTGCTTTATATACAGAGAGTTTAGGTAGACCTGAAGAATATATTACTCATTTAGCTGTCAATCCTTTCTTTTAACTAAGGTTCATATATAATATAATAATGATAATAATAATAATAATAATGGCCCATCTTCGCGAACGAAGATTTGGGGAAAGGTCTTTTTTACCTTTCCAGCCTGTGCAATGGATTTTTTAGGTGAGACACAGCCTGCGCTGAACTGAGCCCACCCTTTAATCCTAAGGTTCATCTGCCGGGGCCAAGCAAGCTTGGACAATGGCAGTGAGGTCCTCAGGACATAGGTTTGTTTAGAGTGTCCTTCTCATAGATGGATGGCCACACAGGGCTAACGACCTCCATCAGGCCAGGAGACCGGGGATTCGAACCCGTGGTCGTAGCAGTGAAAGTCCTGCACGCTAACCACTAGGCCACCAGGGGTCTCAAGGTTCATATATATTTATATCGCAAAATAGTCTTCACTGGTTTTCTTTTTAACATTTCCAGTGCTTAAATGCAGAAGTGGTAATGTACTCCTCAAACAGCTGGTAAATCAGGTAATCACTAGCCATTCCTACCCATCAGCCTTTCACTCAAGATTCCCATGTGCACATGGCCACTCTCCAGGAATTCTGAACTTGGTGATGGACAAGCAGCTGTAAAGGTAATGTACGATATTTACAGTCCTTGAATCATGATATTAATGTCTTGTGAATATTTGACAGTCCTGTTAAAGAAAATAGGATCAGTCTGGTAATCTTTTGGCTGCTGTAGTGTCTAACAAGTTGTAATCCTTAGCTTCCCTGGCAGCAAATTCCTCGTTAAGCACAAGGTATCCTAAAACACATCACCAGTAAAACCTCTTCAAGATGTTAATATACGTAGGATTCTATTAAGTAGATAATTGAATCAAAACACCCCAAAAAATTGGAATGCTGAAATTCTCTAAAAGACTTCTACACAGTGAAACCTATGATTTTGGTGAAATTGTCACTGTGAGGCACAGGAAGACAAAAGAGGTTTAGGATCTCACTACAAACATAAAATTCCAATTTAAAACATATTAGTTTATATAAATATCTCTTTTATGAGTGAATTCAAACAGATATTTTAATCCATCCAGAGACCTTTCAAGTGTAGTTGGGCACACATCGCATTTTTTTCATGCAAGTTTGATGTAATAAATATTTAAGTCCAAGCATTTTGACTAAGATTGTTAATATCAGGGGCTGAGAGCCAGAATTCAAGAGAAAAAAAGGAAATATTCAGGAGAGTTGAGTCATAATGGGTGATTTATATTGGTAGTGGCTTCAGCAAACATAAATAGTCATGGACACATCTATGTCTTTATTGTACCAGAATGACTACATGGAGGTCTGTTTCACCTGTGTATGTAGCAGAACATGTGGGTAGAAGTTGTCCTGCACCTTCAGGGACTGAGAAATTGAAGTCATAGGGTCTCATAAAATTCAGATTGGAAGGAAACTCAGGAGATCATCTAGTCAACCTCTAGTCTTACAGTTTATCTTACATAGGTGATCTTTTCTTGCCTTGGAGCTTATAATCTCTCCACCCCTAGGCCCAGCTGTGTATCTGTGTTTATGTTCACAGCATCGATTCCTCTGCCTAAGGCTCGGATGCTGCCCACATTTGACAAGGCAGTGCAATAAAATCCCCCCATTGCTTTTCTAGTTTTGAGTTGAAAGAGGCATAAATTTCAACAGTCTGAGAGCAGGGCTGCCACTAAGACAAGTGGGGACCTTCAGAGAGGTTCGGCAGAGGTACAGAGGTGCTGTTTCCATCCTGCACCATGAAGTGGGATAGGGGAGAAGAGGAAGGAGGAGGCAGAACAGCTGCAGCAGCTGGAGTTGCCAGGATCAGCCTGCCTAGCAACACCCCTTCTTAGGCAAGGGCATCTAATTCAGAAGCCACAGCAGCATCAGAAGCAGCTCTGACACTTTGTGAGCTGGGTGCATGTTAGGGAGCATGAGAGCTGTCAAAACACCAACCCTAAAGATCCGAATCCTCCTCAGTTTATTGGTAGGTACACTGCCTAGTTCTGCTTACCAGAACTTATTCCTGTGCATAGAGAAAGAATTTATTGAAGTGAAACAGCTATTTATACCAGGCAATTGTTGGATTTTATTTTAGTAATGTAGAAACCAAGAGTAATAGAAGGCTATATTGGAAAAATTTTTTGTATCATTCTATCTTATTCCATTAAAGTTGTGATGAGCAATTGTATAATATAGTGGATGAATATCTTTTAATAATATATAGAAAAACAATAGCAGATTGTATGAGTAGAAATTGTCTTTTATTAGAATTAGAATAAGCCAAGGGTGCATTATCTTAGAGTATTCTGTTCTGGTCATATAGAGAGTGTGAATTTTAATATATGACTAATATATCTGTTATAATGCAATATATATATATATATACATACACAAGTATTATGTATATCCTGTTATTGTTGCAGTTCAATTTATATGGTATGAGAATGCTGCATTCTACCTGTAATAAGCTTATGCAATCTTAATTTTATCTATCATTGGACAGATCAAAATAGCTTAGTGATCATATTTGTATACCCCTAGAAAATATTTTTTTTTCCCTCCAGAAGTTGAAGAGTGTGAGATATGCCAGGCTATGTTTCTGCATTCGGTTTGATTTCTGTAGAAGAATTATAAACTTGGGAGATGGCACTCATCCTTCCCCTGTTCTCATACTGTTTTTTATGGTGTCTATTAATTTTTATTATTTTTCTGGCAGGTGATATTAGTGGAGGCATGGCATGATTTGGATAACAAAGACTATGACTGTTGGCCCCTGGAAAAACCAGATGAGTATAACATGCTGGACTGTGGAGGTGAGTGAGTCGTTAAACTGATCAATAAAAGTGATATCTTACTTGGGGACTGGTTGAAAACCCAAAATTGAAGTATTCAGAATAATACCTCACTCATGATGACTCTATCCATGTTGGAAAGCAACTGAATCAGGAACAACTTCTCTTCCTAGAGAAATAAGTGAAAGAAAACAACTAAAACATACTTCAGAACAGTTATTTGTCCAGTATTGAGTGGTTCCAAAAGGAAAAGTAATAGCAACAGCTGAATCCCTTCCCACAGAAAGAAATAGAAAACATTTTCTTTCTCATTAGAAAACCAAATGCAATTTAATCCAAACAAAGCAGACTGGCAACTCTGCATTGCAGCAAATCTATTGAGTCATTGCTTAAAATCTCTAGTGTCAGTTCAAAAGTGGTCTGAGCTTAAAACCTTCAGCCAGTAAGCAAAATCACTGATGTTATGTGTCATGTTTTTCCACCTTGCTCAAAACTTTGTTCCATGAGTACTTCAAAAACCTTTGAGATTTTTAACCATTTACTCCTATCAGTTTCAAAAATTAATTTACATGATGAGACAACAAAAAAATAGAATAATTTTTATGTCGGTAATTGATTGAGATGGAAAAGTAATTAGAGAGCAACTGAAATTTGGGAAATTCAATTTAAGTATGAGAAAAATTTCTTACACGTCAGGGGTGATAAAACAGTGTAACAGGTTTCTCAGCAAGGTTGTGGTTTCTCCATTCTTGGAGATTTTCAAAATGCAATTAGACAAAGGCTAGAGTACCTCCTTTCCATGACCCTGCCTTGAGCAACACGGGTTTGGAACAAATGATTTCCGGAGGTGACTTCCAATTTCAAATATTCTGTGACTTTGTGACTCTGTAACAAATAAATCACTGATGTAAAGGAACACTTTGTTTATGTTGTAAAAGATAGGACCAGAGACAAGTATTTCAAAAGAGATTTTAGAAAAAGCCTGAGAAACTGATACTGATAAAACACTCTAGGTAATACACTGCTGGGTCACACTCTGAGCTCAATGTTACATTTAAACATTTTCCAATTCATTCTATTGGAAGAGCAAATGAAAAGAGCATCTAGATGGTTTTGAGTAAGACATTTATCCCTCTAAAAATTTACAATTGCTTTAACATTGAAACAGCTATTTATCAGTACAGATGACTTGTTTAAAACTATTCTTACTAATAATCAAAGTGTGAGCTGAGTACAAGGAAGACTAATGCAAGTAAGTTGCTTAATTAACATACACCCTTTACAACCAGTTTTAGAATGAACTCCAAGCTCTATCCTGCCTTTCTCTGGGGTTCTCCTTGCCATTTTCTGGGCATTTGCCAAAAGACACATATACTGTAGCTTCACTGCTGTGGATTTAACAAAAGATCTTCAAAGCTTCTTCTTCTTCATATGTGGGTGTATCTATTGTTGAAAGAAGAGGTTTGTTTACCTTTATGAGACCTTTAAAAAAAATAGAAAGTAATTTAACTAAAATTTATGCTGACCTTTTGCCTTCATTCTCTCATGTTCTCTGAAGCTCAACTCTCTCACCTCTTAGTGCAAATCACTCTAGCTTTTTTTTTTCGTAAATCTTTGTATTGTAGTTTCTTTGTGTGAGTATTTATAATGAGTTTTTACTTTTCAAGGGAGATGGGAAATAAAGAGGTTATCTTACAATTTACCCAGTTATATCTGACAGGAAATCATGTTTAGGAGAAAAAAGTAGTGGCTGCAGTAACAGTGCAAGTGAAGAATATACTTATAAAAACAACTGCAAGGTAACAAAAGAGTTCATAACTGAACAACAACAACAACAGAAAAGGGAATCTCTTGCAAGGCAGATTTACCCATTCTCTGCAGAAGTGATTTAATACTTCTTGGCAAACTGAATGCAACACAGTTGCAGGATGTAAGTAATGTGATGTGGTGCATATTAAAACCTTCAACCAATAATATATGAAAAGGTAGGTGAATGAAGTGGAAAGATTTTTGATGGTGTTATTAAAGATTATGGATTTGAAACTTCTCCCACCTCTTATCTCACTTCATTCCTAGGCCCAGAGCAGATAACATGGAGTCCTAGGGAAAAGAGAGACAATTGGGATAAATCATCTTTCCCACTTAAAAGAGTGGGAATGGAAAATGACAGATGTCTGAGTAGAGCTCCTTCTACTGTCCTCTGTTCCAGATGTGATAGAGTTCTATAAAATAAGAATGTTTTTTTTAATATATAATTATTAGTATGTATAATTTATGTCTCATGAGGTTCAGGATTTTGACTCAATTTTGTGTGTGGTAGAGTTATCTGTTCTTCTTCCATAATAAAATGCACCCGAGTGAGAGCAGTCGAGAATTAAGAGTAATGTTTATTTTGTGATCCAAGGGGAAAGCAAATATATCAGGACAAGCAGCAATACATTATACTGGAAACAAAGCTAGATTATGTAAAATGAACAGATTTTTTGTTACATTTCTCCAACTGCAAGATCTTTTCTAAATGAGTGTCAGAATTTTTCAATGAATGTGCATTTGTGGTTACCTATGTAGCCACTAAAATTGATGATGGATTTGGGCTCATAACAAGCAGAGGAAGAATACTTGGAGGGTTACTCAGGGGGTAGTAGGGCACTGGAACAGGTTGTCCAGAGAAGCTGAGGGTGCCCCGTCTCTGTAAATGTTTGAGACCAGGTTGGATGGGGCTTCGAGCAACCTGGACTAGCGGAAGGTGTCCCTACCCCATGGCAGGAGGACCCATGGAACTAGATGATCTTTAAGGTCCCTTCCAGCCCAAACGGTTCTATGATTCTATGAATAGATGAAAATCAATACACAGAAAGTTTTACATTTGTATGTGCATCAACAGATGCACATCTGTTGAATAAAATAGTATAGCAAATATTTTGGCCCATGATTGTGTCATTTCTAGGACTGGAGATGGTGTGGGTGCAAAGGCCTCCAGAAAAGGCTGTGAGCGGGGAATCCTTCAACGTGACCTACGCAGTCTTTGCTTCAGACAACTTTTATCAATATGCAGTGCAAAATGGAATCCTTTCCCACAGGTATTGCTTCCCATAGAAATGTTATCATGGTAATGACTATGTGAGGATTCTATGTGTACATATTCATAAATATAATTGGAACATATGCTCTGGGGCTCCTCACTGATTCCTTGCACGTTTTGAGGTCTCTTATAGCTCTGTTTTTCCTGATATTTCCCCCTCTGCAATGACTTTGCTCTCAGAGCAGCCACCATGGCATACTTGCCTGCTTGGTCAAAGATGGAGCACACCACTAACGTATCAGTGCAACTCTGAACATCACTTCTTGCTTCTCTACACACGGAATTTATAACTGAAGTTTTAGCACGAGACTAACTACATATCTCAAACTCATTTTAATCATAAGAATGATTGAAGTCCACAAAATGGATATGAAAAAGACACCAGTCCAACACTGAATCCACTAAATTCAGTGGTGAAACATTTTATTTTCCATGGGATTAAAATCAGTACAAAAGCTTATATATCAGCTCAGGGACTGTGTTGTGGACATCAGTAGCTAAGTAGAGAATGTTTATTTCTACAGCTCCAGATCTACAGATCTGGATCTACAAATCCAGGCCTAATACACCCTAATTTTACACTTCTGTCTGTGCATAACAATTCTCTATCCATTTATAGCAATACCTGGGTCAGAGGCTGCAGCTGTGTTTCCCTACTTTCTGTTCTGTTAGTCTAAGAGAAGTTTATGGAAAACCTCACATTTTTTGCTGTTGTTCTGAGTGTTTACATTGCAAAGTTAAGATTTAAAAGGTGTTATCCTGAGATTTTTTTTATATTGAAAGATGATTTATAATTCATTTGCAATGGCAAAAATTTAATATTTTTTATTTTTATCATCTGTGTACTGTGTTTACAAAGTTTTTTTAAGTTTTTTATCACATTTTCTGAAATGTATGACTACTAATAGTTCAAAGATCTCAACCATGAAGCAGATTTTTTCACTTCTTGGGAATGGATCTGATTTTATAGTCTTCCCAGGGAGACCCACTCTCTCAAATCACTAAAGAATCTGGAAAAGTCGTCCTCTCGTGTACTTATATGTACACATATAGAAACAGATGGCAAATATTTTTAAAGACAGAGAAATCTATGGTGAAGTTTTTCACTGCACCTCATTTTAACTAGAAGATTATCTGGTTGACAAAAGGTTACAATGGCTGACTAAAATACATCTGGCTGGAAAGTCAGTGTATGGGCATCAGCATGATTGTGTGAAGCCATGATGAAGTTCTTGAATAAAAAATACAGAATACAGGATAAATTTTAAAAAGCAGCCCTAGAGAATTAAGCACCAGCTTGATTGTGTATTTTTCTTAATTCCAAGTATGAATTCAAAGGCCAATAAATTTTAATATTTTATCTGTTCAGATATTTGGGCAATTGACAGATTTGCTTATCTCAGGTTTCGAGTATGTTTATGCCTTTGTAAGTCTAGCCATGAATACAATCTATATTAACCTAATCCTCTATATTTGTGTTTATTTCTTAAAATTAACACAGTCTTCTTATAATAAACACAGTCTTGTCTTAAATCTACTCATTACTAGGCCTTTTTTTCAGTAAAAACAAGTTGAAAAATAAATCCTTGTGTTCTGGAACTGTTTTATAGAGATCCATCACAAGTGCATAACATTTAAACTAAACTGCAAATAAGTCTGGCTGTATCTACTGAATAAACCATGTTTGCAGAATATTATTTTATCTTAAAGCCAAATTTATGAGAGTGATAACCAACTGAAAGTGTAACCGAGGAAACAGTGTTGCATCACACATTTCCAGGTGACTACATTCATCTTTAAGGAATAAAATTTCAAAAGTTGTTTTGTAGGACAGTCTATTCATAAAGTCTGATTTTTGCTTTACATTTTTGGTTTAGGGAATTGTATCTGATATTATTATCCAATATACTTATTTTCCTTGGCAATTTCAATTGTGGAGCAAAGACTGGAGCTAAATAATCTGTATGAATCATGTGCATAGATGAAGGTATATAATTGAAAACACTGAGACTGAAAGTAGCCAGGGACACATATAGTGATAGTGGAAGTCAAGTAATGAATGATGTCTCTGTGCTGGATGAAGTCGTGCCAACTAATCTCACCTGGTCATGAAGTCAGGCTGGGGAGAGAAGTCGAGGTTGGTCCCTGGTTGCAGCACAGTACCTGCTAGATGTCCCTACTGCATGGCAGTGGGCAGTGGTCCAGTTGACAACAATCTTCTTTGCTCCAGGAGTGCTTCAAACAGAAGGGGGACAGAAGAGAAAGAAGTGGTGCAGCAGTGTTTAGGTCTCTTCATATGTTTTTGCTGCTAATTTTTCTGAGAAGGATAAAGAACAAGCTGTCATGTACTTGTTGCAATTTTTGTGAATGAGGAATGGATGTAAAAGTTTTTCTCTCTCCTGCTTGGCTAGCAATGCTCCTGCTGCGAAGGAATTTTGTGAGGAGCATGAATGCCCTGCCAGATGGAAAGATGCAAATGAGGAGAACTGCTGTGTCTACCATGCCAACATTCATTCCTGTCCTTTGGCCTTCATGGTTAGTATGATGGTACAGCATAATGTGCTCTGTTCTTGGTACTAGATGAAACATCATTTTAATAACCAGGTTGTAACGGTAGATGAGTTGGAGGGGGGAACCTTCAGGCCCTGGCTTCAGTCCATTACCTGGAAAGGTGCATGCTCTCCCACCTTGCCCCCCACCTTGTGGCTTGTGACCCCCCCCAAAGGAAGCACACACACTGACCACCAGGGAGGGACGGACGAAAGAGGAAGTTTAATGTGGGGTAGGGGTTTATAAAGCTCTTGGGAGGGTCAAAGGGGACCAATTAAAGGTGAGGCGTCTTACAAAAAAACAATCAGGTAGGGAGTTAACAGCCAAATAAGGAAGGGGTTAACAAAAGACCAATGAGAACACCTTAGGACATCTTCCCAGGACACTCCTACCTGAGAGATAAGGGGTCTTACAGAGGGTGTCGGGAAGAAGGAGCAGTGACTTTGCAAAAAGCCATCTTAATACATGTTTAAATAACATTAAAAACTTCTGATTCACCAGTCCATCTTTAGCAGGACTTTTTCCATAAATCCATTGCTACAAGGTTGAAGTTCGTGAAGTCTTTCTGTAATTACAATTAGACGAAATCTATAGTTCACTAAAACCGCTGTGACGATGTCTGTCAGTTTCAGAATTTTTTTGCACTGGATGCTGAGGCCACAAAGCAAGTGGTTGGATCCTTGGGCAAGGCAGTATCCAGAATCTCTCACTATGTTTAGTGAGGCCAGTTTCATAATTTTGAGATTACCTGACTCGGATTGCTGTGCAGTCAATAAGGAAAGAAAGACAGATCATTGCATTCTAAAACAAGCAGGGCAAATTTTCTGTTGAAGGTATTCCTGCCTCTCCAGCTTACAGAGGGAACATGAATGATTTGCTTGGATTACTAGAGTTGAGGGGGATGAATATCACTGGCTGTGACTTGTAGAACTGAAGCCTGTATGCGCATGTCCTGAGATAGAATGATTTTTCTCTATTATATCAGTGTAAAAAAAAGAATCCAAATAAAGGATAACAAAATTTGTTCATGCAGTATTAGCAAGATCCATTCTTAGCTTGTCTGCTTGGCCTGTCTCTCTTTGAATGAATACTTAAAGTTCTGATTTTAAAAACACAGTTTGGAACACCTTAATTTTTTTTAATCTGTGAGGTAAGCCTTACCTTGCATACTAACCTTCATGCAGTTGCCCAGTTTTTCTAGTTGAGGTCCCTTCTGGTAATGTGACATTCTTCCTGATCAAAGATGGTGTAATAGAAAACCTAGTCTACACATCTTGCAGCTGTTTCATGTACCCTTCTGTGAGAAGGCCTAATTACTTCTCAAGATCTCCAGTTTGCTTCTTGGCAGTCCCTTTGAAAAGCTGTTTTCTTAATGACTCCCTGAGAGCCTTAGCTGATATCAGAACTTTGGTTTAAAAGAGGAATCCCTGTTGGACCATCACACCAATACTTTTGTCTAGAACCATAGTAAAGAACTTCAACATCCCACCACTGTCATGACCTCTCCGTTGCTTCTCACTTTCACAATTAGTACTGCTTGGAATTAAGGTATGGAAATGGCAAAAGCATGTTAGCTGACGTGCATCATCTGGCTTCTTCATAATACTGTAAATACTTTAGTTTCTGTTTAGAGGAAATCTAAGCAGATTGACTGTCAAACAGCAAGGCCATGAGTGTCACTGCATAAGATTGAAAATACACTTCAAAGAAAGTTTTTTCCATTGTCTGAGGAGGTTTTGATTTTCACTTTTGGGTTTTTTTTTTTTCAGTATCATGAGTTTTAAAACATTCTATTTGTGTTAGCTTGACTCCATTTCTTTTGATTTAATCTATTTCTTATAGTCCTTTGAAACAAGTACCTGAAGAAATACCTGGAGATAGGAGACAAACTGAATCCTTTCAAAAAACCAAAAAACGACAAGATCTTTGGACAGCCAAAATAGTCCTCCATGATTGCAGTTGTAGGAGGTTTACATCTTAATAGCTTTACTGAGACATGCTGTGCAAACAGACAATGAAAAGGTGCCTCACTTCCTCGCTAAAGAAAAAGGAAAAAATAAGCTGCTCTATCAAAAGTAATACTTCAATAAAACCCATTGAGAAAAATATTAAAAGTGGGATATGATTCTGGTTCTAATATAGCAAATTCTGAAAAAGTGCATTAGCTTCGTAGGGTTACTCATTCTGTGAGTACACTACTGAGGCTCATGTATTTTAAAAAGTAACAATATTTGTGACATTTTAACTCAATATAGGAACAATTGCCTGTCTCTTATTTTATCTTTTATTTTGTCACAGAACAGTGTTGCTTGTGTTTTGGCATATTAATTGATTTAGCTATAAAATATCGCTTCATTTGCTGTTAGAGAACATAAGTAATTTTGAGAAGGTAAAAAAGAGGAGCTAGGACTTCCATTGTGTTGTGCTTTACTGACGTAAGCAACATGTCTACTAAAGGGTAAAGGAGGAATTTGTGGTCCATGGATCCCAGATGATGGGCAGATATTTACTCACACTTTGTCTACTGCTGGAAAAATGAGCCAAAGAAACTGGACTGCCAAGGTAAACTATATTTATTGCATATGGCATTTTATCTGGTTTGCTCTTTTCAGAACTTACTTGCTAGTAATTTAAAGCCTTTCATGTATATTCTCCCCATCCATTTATTTGTGTGTTATATGTGTAAATGATGCATATAGCTGAGTAATATCAATTCCCAACTGACTTGACTTGAAAGCATCAGTTTTATGCCTTATGTAGTTATTGGAAGTAGTGGGGATGGGAGGAAAATGAGTCCATTTAAGGCCAACACTAACAATATACTGCACTACTGACTGGACTGTAATGCAGGTTCATATGATCATTATGGGCTTTCTGGCTGGCAGAAATAACGGGGAAGTAAACATGGCAAAATGTACAGGCCTGATAGCCCTGCTTGGTGAAAAGAATACACACCAGGAGGGCAGTCAGATCTGCCTTTCTCACAAGAGCTGTCTCTTCTGCTTCATTTTGCCCACACAGTGAAGGACACCTGCCCTTCCTGATTCTGAAAAACAAGTACAAATTCTTTTGAAGGTCATCACAACTGGGCAGTTCTTATCATAAAGCCTAGTGTATGCAAGAGAAACTTTGATGCTTGCTGCTTTTTTCACTTGTTTGGCAGGTTGTTTTAGTTCATATGGGTGTGACTTCTCTCATTGCGCACATCCGAGTTGGGAGAATGCAAGCTGCTCTGGAAGCAAAAACCACAGTCCTTCCTGCAGTAGGTATGATATAAAATGAAAATGTGAGGGAACTGCTTACTGACTGCAAATCTGAATGCTTTTATTATTCATGTATGGTGACCAAGAGCAAAAGTACCTCCTACCCCAACTTAGCATTGAAAATACACAAATGTATTTCCGAAATTCTTCTTCACATAACACTGAATATCCAAAAAATGTTTGAGCTTCTAACATGTATTAATCTAGAACAGCAGAAAGCCACTCTTGTCAAATAAGTAAGGTGATGATCAAATACCATGATCAATGGCTTCAGGTACTACAGGGCTTGTCTGCAGTTTGTGGGGATGTGAGAATATTCTAAGAAATGTTCTGAGGATCTGGACACTCTTCATCTGAAGAGGAGCAGACAAGTGTTAAGGAAATTGGATTAGTAGAAATCCATATTGGTTCTCTTTTTCACATAAAAATAAAATTACTCCCAAAGGCATCGGTCTTTCATTAACTTTGGTATAGCTGCATGAAGGGAAGAAGAAATAACTGTAACAATTCTCTTAGCAATGTAAAATTTAAAAATTGGACTTTGTTTAATAAATTAGACACACAACCTGAAGAAAAATATTGGTTAAAATAGGAATGTCATCACAGTACTCGTCAGCTACCCTTCTGGAAATTTGAGAATATATTTTCTAGTGTTATGGAACAGAAAAAAAGGACAGAAGCCACTCCAGTGTGAATGGAAGTATTTTGCTATAGAATTTTCTATTCATTTCAAGGCAACAGCAGCTGAGTTTTCCAGGAAACTTACACTTTATCAGAAAAAAAATGTTAAAAATGCAGCTCTACCCCTCAGGCAGAAAGTGACTTCTGTTATTATCCTGGCATTACACTGGAATTAATGGGGTTGAGAGAGAATTATTACTGAGCAGTGGATTTTGTTTTGTTAAGGCTTTTTTTTTTAAAAAAGGTACATAGTGACATTATTACATTGCTTGAGCTCATCTCACAAGGCTGAAGTATAGCATGATATTAGTTTAGTCACAGAGGTAACACTGAAAGACCATTCAGGACATGGGAGAAGGAGTTTTGTCCTTCAGGGTTTCTGTTTTACATCCCATCAGATGCTGCGGGTGATTTATATAAGATCTTGGAGTAAAAGAAATCCTTGAAGTATGGGTTGTAAGATTTCTTTCTGCAGTTCCCAGTGTATTCTGCTGCTGAATAAGGGTCACTGGCTTCTGGGGATCACAAGGGCTGGAATAAGTACAAAGAATAAAAAAGGAAATGCCTGCCCTGAAGAACTTTGTCCCCATATGAACAATGAAAAACACAGTAGTAGTGATGAAGTGTTTTATACACAAAATGTGTCAAAGCCTCTGATGTAATTAACATTTAATCTGATGAAGGAGATCCTGCATCACTTCAGAAATTCAGATTGCTCTTTCAGCTGCTGAGATGATATCTCTGAATTCTTCAAAAATTATTATTTCTGGCACTCTGAGGTTTCCCAGCTCAAGAACCATGTGTTTAGATCAGGATACTACCTCATAAATGGATAAAACTGCCTTAAAATATTCTGATACGTGTATCCTTTTTTAATCAGTGTGTGGAGATGGCTTTTGTGAGGAAGAGGAAGGTTGCTCTATCTGTCCACCAGACTGTGGGGAATGCCCACTTTCTGCTGATGCCAGGATAGCAATTGCCTTACCAATATGTTTAGTCTGCACTGGCTTCATTTTGACAGTCATGGTAAGTATCCTTTCTCTCCTCTTCTATTTTTCTCTTGTTTCCATGATTTCATTGGATAGAGTGGAGCTCTCTCTTAGTAGAGGGATAGAACTTCTTCATCCAGAACCTATGTGCTGTGAAAGAAAGCAGAAAGAAGGGAAAAAACTATTAAGGCTTCTTTGTAAGAGAAGTCTCATTGTGTTCAAATTTTCATTCTGTAGAGAGAAGACTACAGCAGGGTGGATATATCACTGTAAAGGAGGAAGAGATTTTTCAAAATGGGAAGTAGGGGACCCCAGAAAAGTAAGGGTACTTTTCACTCTGTTACAAAATTAACTGCTTAAAAACCCTATGGAGGCCAGAACTATAAAACAATTAAAAAACAATTTAGGTAAATTCATTAGGGGACTAGCTCCTTCAGGGGCCATTAAATCTCAGAGTCCAAACACAACTTGTAATGCAAAACATTCAACTTGAGATATTCTCAAAAGAAATCATGGGAAGAGAATTTTTTTTCTGTTTTGGTTGGCTGGGTTTTTTTAATAGGCTCATTTTCTTAGTGTAGCTGAACCAGCTTGGTTCAGTTCAAAGGGATTAATTTTGCATAGTGGTTATCAATTATTATAACAGACTCATGTAGGAAAAGCAAAAAGGGAATGAGGAGTGTATGAGTAATCGAGAAGCAGTTTTGTGTGTCTTTGAATAAAAAAGTCTGTATAAATAGGAGACAGCATGCTATTATGGCTTATTACTTCACAGTACTTCTGGGAAAGATGATCTATAACCTTTATATGTCTACATCTTGGAAAATAATACATTTATGATTTTCTTAACAAAGATTTAACAGGTGAATATGGCAGTTGTAGAGTCATTATAGTGATTATGTACCTGCAGATAATTTGTTTGGAGCTTGGCCTATAAATCCTATAAAACAATAAGCTACTCTTTCCTCAGGAATTCCTCCTCTGTCTATCTTGTGCTGCAGTTGCAGTAGGCAACTGCACTGAGAGAGAGTGAGCAGGAGAAGGCTGATGGTCCATAAATTGAGGTACTAAGGGATGCCTGAATCACAATTAGATTTTTTTCTCTATTCTGTACCTCACTCTGTGGCTTTCCGAGTTAGGAACAGAAGCAATGTTGAGAACTATTTGAGTATTTATAGTCCACACAAAAGTTGTGACAATGAGTTCATGGTAACTGTCCTGTGAAATGATATGATTTGACAGAAATGTGTAATTGGACATGAGAAATTCGGAAAGTTTTAAATAAACAGGCATTTGCATTTTAGAAAGAGCAATCAAGTTTCTTGGCCTTGCATAGACTTATTTAAATGTCTTGTAGCAATATTTAGCTATTATTTCTGCTATTTTTCTGCCGGTTTTGAGTTTGTATTTTTTCTTCTTGCATTTCTGTATACATATTCTTATATGCGTAATGATATGGGAATGATGTAATGACAACTTCTTCAATAACAGCATCTTTTTTAAAAAAAAGTTTTATTGGTTTTATTGTAGCAAGATAGGAAAGATTATTTTATCCAATTCAGTTACTGATAAAATGTAAAAAGAAACATCTGGGAAACTAATGCCTTCTTTAATCACTCAAGTAGAAGAAAGGATTCGTTTGATATCAAGTGTCTATATCAAGCCTGGTAGTCACTTCCTGATAATAAGTCTTTGTACAGTCATACCTCTACAAGATAAAAGTAGATTTCGTTCCTCAAAAACTTTTTGAAATAAATGGGATGAAATAATTTGATTTAATGGGCTCTATATTTGCCTTGAATTTCTCCCAATTATGTCGATACAATTTCCACACCATGTTCCTTGTGTATGAACTTGTCACCTGTTTCAGAGAAAACATGCATCATTCCTAGTATAATTCCACTCTCTAGGAAATGCTATAATGATGGTGAAATGCTATAATGATGGTAAAATGCTGCTTTGATTTGACATTTTGGCATTGACTGTAGCCATTAAAACTGTATAATTTAATCTGGTGCTTATTTGAAATCATGTATTTATACTTTGTATATTAGTTTTTCATGTCAGCTCTACAAAAAATCAGCTATTAGATCAATGTCTTCTTCACTGATGATTCAAGTAGCCAGAGATTCCCTACCTGATACTGTCGATGCTAGAGTACTTGACATAATATGGCCTAATTTGTAGACTGGGGGCTTGGAGTTGGGATGTACTGTGTTCTTGTCATGCACTTACATAGCATAACACATGTCAATGACATGAGGGGATGTGAACCACTCATTTGATGTCCAGGCTCAAATATAAATGCACAAACATTGATAATAATGGAGAGTTTATAGCCAATGCAAAATATGACAAGTAATTACTTCTAGAACATAGATTACAGTTTTTAATATATTTATTATGTGCTGTTTTCTTCTAAGCCTATTATTAATACATTTGGTTCAAACGTTACTTATAAGATGTATATTGAATGTTTAAATATCAGATTTGGTTTGGATACTTATACACTTATACTTTCATATTTGATAAAAATAATCTCTGGTTTAATTTCTTCAAAGGCATTGGGGCTACATTAGGAATGAATTTGATTTATTTTTGTAGTGGCTTCAATATCAGAAGCAAAAGATGCTTTGGGATGAAAGTTGGATTATAGATTTCACCTGCATCAAACAAGGTTAGTAACTTGTCATTTTGATACTGTGATCAGTTTCCTTAATAATTTTGAGAAATAATCTCCATTATAAGTACATTATTACATTTCAAGGGTCTTAAAAAAAGTGAACCAATCTGTGAAAGACATATCCAATGTTTCATCCCTGTTATCTCTGTGAACTGGTCACTGATGTTTGTTTCTTGAAGCTTTAGATGTCAAAGTTATTTTAAATAGTTTCCTTCTTTTTATTTACATTGATTTGTCAATTGAAAAAGACAAGCCTATGCCAAAATAAACAGATAACTTCTGAACTTGGACAAAATAAATTACAGTTACTTCAGTGAGTGTATCATTCTGTATGTATCGGTCTCTGACTAAGTTGCCCCCAAATTGCACCAATATATTGTGATACAACATGATCATATTTTCTCTCAGTGTATGCTATCTGTGACAGACTTGCTGCAAAAAGTAATTCATTGTGGCCAATGGGTTTTTTTCTATTTTATCTTCTGACTGTAAGTTATGATTTAATTAGTTCTAATTAAATAAATTAAGAATAAATTCAGATCTTATTATATGCTTTTCTGTGCTACACTTAAAATAGGCATAGATTATTTACTTTGCTGTTTCTTGATTTAGCATTCAGAAGGAAAACAATACCTAGACCTTTAGAAAGTGTAAATCTGTAGAAATCTGCTGAAGTTTGTAGGTCTGTACTGATGCACACTCTCACTGTGTGTGTCTGTGAGGAACTGCTAAGCAGATGTCTGCTTTATCTGTGTTATGTTATTGTGTTGCTAGTGTCAAGATGTTCTTGTGATAATATATAGTAGAGATACTTTCAGGCTTACACTTGAACATTAATTTTTGTATAGCTTTCATATGATATTCTTTTTGCTGCATAAGAAATTTTGGCTTAGGAATTAATTTGATTACATAAACCAAAATGAATTTCAATCCAGATTTGTGAATTCAGAAATGGAGGAAAGTGTCTTTCAGTATAGCAAATTTAACAAGATCAAATTTTCAGCTAATAGTGAATCAGAAAATGTCATAAACATCACACATGAGGAGAAACATTAGAAAGAGACTCAGGGAAACTAGAAGCATGACCAAAAAATAACACATTAAAAATTAGTTTGAAAAATCAAAGAAGAAAGACAAGCTTTCTAGGAGAGAAGCCTGCAAAGCAACGATATTTTTTAAGACCTAGGAGTGATAATTAACAACTAAATGAGGACTGATAACATTATGAGATTTAGCAACAACCAGTACGTCTTCTCTGGATAAAGCTGTTCAGAGCTACCCACTGTAGCCTGAAATGCACAGTTATCTAGATGGAAACAGATCATCAGTGTTCTACCCAGGGTATGTAGCCTGTATGATGGAAAATTAGCCTTATTTTTTCAAGATAACTTCTTTTTTTGTTGCTTTGCACGACATATAGAGATATAGATGTACACATTTATATATACACACTCATTCTCAAAGCTATCTCAGGGAGTTCTAATATATTTCTGGGTGGAATGCTGTAGAAAGGCTTAAAATGTCAATGCAATTTTGACCTGCATATGGATAATACTGTGGTGTGGGAACATGGCAGTTCTGATCCAAGCTGAGATACTGAACTTTCTGAGCAGCATTTTATTGGATACTTCTACTAGGGAGACTTGAGAGCTCTCAGCATTTCTGAGACTAATTGGCTAAATCTGGATTTTAATTGGAGATGGTTACACAATATGTAATTATTGAATTTGTTTTGAAGTACCTTTGTCACCTTGAGCTGGTCAACAGAGATTAAAAAGCATACATTGAGATCACTGTGTATTTTTTTCATCTTTCTGCATTGTTGCTTTTCTCTGACTTCAGTCTGGTGTCAGAATCACTTCCCACATTCCTGTACTTTACAGTCTTCTAGGAGCTCCAAATAGACTTGTTAAAGTATAGCACAGGGCTTGCTCTCCTTCTCTGGGTTCTGTCCTCAGCATCTATGTAGCAGCAAGGGCTAATCATCTCAGGAGCAGAGAAGTAAAAATTGCATCAGATCCTGAAAATTAGTGAGAAAGATCTCTAGCAATGAATCATCTTTGGAACTTTTTTACTTTTTATGCAGCAGTCACATCCCAAGCAATGGTTTTCTGTCTTAACTGTTAACAAGAGCAACTGGCTGTAAAGTTTTGGAGAATTCCCTTTATTTGTTTGCCTCTGGAGTCTCTGCCTGTGCAAAAATAGGCATCTTCAGGTCACTTTTCTCATCCCACATCCCATTTAGATCACGTCATACGGACAGTAACGGGAAGCGTGATGAGTGCTCCTCCAGCACCCAGTATCTCCAATGTCAGCTGTATCACTGCTCTGAGCTCTTGCACAGCAGCTGCCAACATGTCCAGGAAACAATACTTCACCCAGACTGGGAGATAGTAAGTCAATGTATTACTAATTTACTGTGCCTAGAATATTACAATTTCACCTTGAATTTCTGGTTCTTGCCACTTTACTGTTGAATAGGCAGTAAAAAAGAATTTATCTTGTTAGGCCAAATCCGGTAAGTTAAGATCATCGTCTGACTTCTGTACCAAATATTGTCTGTGGAGTATTTTATATGCCAGGCTTCTGGTTTGTCTTTCATTTCTCCTTTTCTCTTAGGGACTACAGTCTGTTAAAGAATGGTCCTTGCTGTTCAAACATATTTTGAACCAAGGTTTTTATGAAGCCCTTTTTCTAAAATGCAGGCAGAGCACAGCTAGGTTCTCTGCACTAAAGAGTGACACCCTTTACAGCGGCATGTTAGAAATCTTGTTCTTAAACCAGCTAATGTGACTGAATGTTCAGAACCTTTTACCTCTGAATCAAATTATTAAGGTGCACATCTGTGTAGACAGATAGTATAGGCATATCTTGCTATCCAGAAAGCAATTTTTCACATAAAAGTAGTATAAATAAGGGGTAGGAGGGGAACACGTGCAAAGATGGAAGCAATACCTACCACTGGAACACATAGGGAAAGATCTGTGCTTTGCAGGATAAAGCTTACTTCTGGCTGGGGGAACAGATGCATTTTCAGCATAGACTGTGGAAAATCACAGCCACTTCACTGATGTAACACTGTGTCCAGCATTGATCTTTTAGATTAGGCATTTTTGCTTCTTCTTTCTGAATGGTGACATTATCATCATCATCGTCATTATCATCTTCCTCAGATGCCTCAAGGTTAAAAACATTCGGCAAGGGTGAAAAATGTAAGAATGGGGCATTCAGTCTCATTGGCAAAGCACCTAGAGCTGCTACACCACAGACCCCATACTCTGTATTTATATGGTGGGTATCACTTAAATTCCTGCAGGTATCTCCATTGGATTCCTTTAACAAGGAAAATTGCTTTGTTGTCTATCAAACTCAGCTGCTTCATTGCTGAGAATGCTTAGCCCCATGAGAGCAGAAGTATGTGAAATGTCAGTGAGGGATCTACAGAATGGTAGCCAGAAGTCATGGATAAGGAGGGATGTGGCTACATGTGTTTCTCTCTCTCTGACACTTCCTTTGCTGCTACTCCATCATTGAACCGCCTCAACTGACCCTAACGCTCACAATCCAAATGTTGTTCACGGATCAAGATTGCTTGAATGTAATCACTAATCCTTCCTTTGTCAGTAGAAACAGGGTCCTGTTGTCTGTCATAGATTCAGATTTACAATCACATATGGAAATGCTTAAATTCTCTGCCTCACCTCTAATTGTATGAAACTGTTCCACTCTAGAAAGTATATCTTGTCCATTTTTGTAGTATTGCTGGCTTAGGAATTTGGTCTAAAACTCTGTGAATAGCATTTCATTCTGTTTCAGTGATGGTAGAACAGTGGCCATAAAGAAAATAATGAAGAAAACATTCACATTGTCTAAATCCATACGTAAAGAAGTAAAGCAAGTGAGGTAAGAAGTGAAATCTGAAGTGTTGTTCCTTTTTTGACTGGTTCTTTAGGGTTTAAAATCTTTCCAAATGTGACCGTAAATTCATATTCCTCTTTCTTTCAGACTTTGGTTTAACACCAGATTAAAATCTCCTTATTCCTGTCTTACTTTTTCTCCATATTGTAAGACAAGGCACTTTCCAGCTACAGTATAAAAAGCAGGAGGCACATTCATGAAAATTGCTGTTATGCTGTGATTTCTGTTGATTTTCACAGGGAACTTGACCATCCCAATCTCTGCAAATTCATTGGAGGTTGTATAGAAGTCCCAAATGTTGCCATTGTCACGGAGTACTGCCCCAAGGGAAGCCTGAGTGATGTGCTCTTCAATGAAGACATTCCTTTGAACTGGGGTTTCAGGTAGGAAAAAAAGTTTTGAGAAGTTAAATGAGACATACTGTGATATATGCTGTTTAGGGAAAGATGTTAATTTTAGATGATGTTCTTGGAGAGAGAGGCCTCTACTGTCATATGGAGAGAATAAAGAAGAAAGCAAGCAAATTCAAATATTCAGTCCAACTTGTCTTTCATTTTTTTTGATAAATCATATGTTTAGTGTTGGTCATGCTAAGGCAATGACTTTTCAACTCTTGCCCTAGAGAGACCTGCAGAAACTGCTTTAAAACCTTTTTTCCTGTGTAACTTAATTTTGTTCCCAAATGTCTTGAGCATCCCTATTTAACTAAAAATCACTGCACCTTTGTTTATGAAGACATATTGATTACCTGGTTAGCATATCTACAAAAGCATTATTATACCTACTAGTAGAGAGAATGAGCTCATACTGTCAATGAAACTTCCACAAAGGCAATGACATTTTTTTTTGAAATTGATCTTCTTGTCACACCCTTTCTGCTTCTGCTTTATGTTTGCCTTCAGCAAAGAAAGAGATTCTGAGGAAAGAAAACTTCCAAATAAAGTGAGGAAGTTAATAAAATTGTTTCTCTTGTAAACATTTGAAAACACTCCCAAGGATACAAAAGTACTGGCAATTTCTAGAAGAAACTCAGCTGTCTTAATAGAGGCTGAAGGCCTGCAGGCTCACACAAATGAGTGGGTGTTAAGGGCTTTTAGCCACCCACCTTAAATATTTTGGAAAATTGAGCACGGTAACACAAATTGAAAGCTATAAGGTGTGTTTCTGTAAAATTCAGTAGGCTTTGGAGCCACTCTTGACTGAAAGTTTAGTGGAAATACCAGCTTACTGATTTTTATCTTTCAGGTTTTCTTTTGCTACTGATATTGCACAAGGAATGGCTTATCTTCACCACCACAAAATGTATCATGGACGGTTGAAGTCTACTAACTGTGTGATAGATGACCGGTGGGTTTGCAAAATTGCAGGTAAAAAGTAGATAAGAAAAAAATTTCAAAACTGTCTGCTAACCCACTAATGTGCATAGATTTCACGCTCAACACTTTTTCCAAGTGCCTTCATGCTGATGTTTCATGTGGAATTACCAACTGTACCAAACTTCAGTAGAAGTGACCTGTGCTGAAGCAAGTTTCATGTTACATTATCAAGTGAGGTGAATTAATATGTGTCACTGATGCATTCATCAGACCCCACAAAGAATGGAGTTTGTCAACATCAGTCTGAGCAGAAACTCTGCCTCATTCTCAGTTTTGATACAGCAAGAAAACCTGAGCCATGGACAAAGATGTGTAGTAATGCTGACTGATTGGTAAACACAATGTAGTTTCATGGAGGAAAATAGACTCAGCTCAGAGCTTTTCAGTCCTTTACACAAAACTGAATTGTATTCTCCCAGAAACAGAGCTACAGTTCTGGTCTGCTCCTGGTACAGGAAGACAGCCTGTGGAAGCAAGAATGCCACTGAAGAGTCTAGTTTAGTTTGCAGATGCCAAGGGGAATTAAGGCAATGATCATCTCTTCTACTTTCTCTCCAGAGAAGTTGTCACACCCTCTAACCCCTAGCCATCCTAAAAGAAGCAGCAACAGATTTGGTTTGCAATGGAACATCCTATGACTAAGACTTCTACACAGGGACAGGCCTGCTTTTCCAAGTTATTCAGTATTCTATTGCCTTCGGAACTGCCTGCTCTGCTTAGAGCCTGTTCTTGAGAAAAGCATAAAAAATAGACTTAGTTGGATTACATCAGCTACATCACCTTAGCACAGCTTGTCTCAGTTAAATAGGATCTCTGTGAAATAATTCAGAAGTTATATAGTTGCACTGTAGCAATTTCAAGTTTTCATGGCTTATCCGGATGTGATAATATCAAACCAACATCACAAATAATGAATGCGGGAGCTATTTGAAAAATTACCTCCAACATAACGAACTAATCTCTAAGACCATCTTATTCAGAGGTCACTCCAGATAAAAGGAGACATCTGCATCCAACCTTCCCATACACGGCAGCAGAGTGCTGTTTACGTAAAAAAGAAAAATTAAGTCGGTTGTTTTTTTTTTCCTCCTCACCGATTCTGAGTCATATGCTGAGCATCCCTTCTATATTAGGCTAGAAGTATAGATGGAAAGATGTTTCACATCTATGCTGCCTTTGTTCTAGTGCTAGTGGTATGCAAGTAACACCCACCATCTGCTTTTCAGTCGTAATTCTGTCTAACTAGTAATTACTTTAGCAACCTGCCACCAGAGATAAGTATCAAGGGACAAGGTAGAACAAAAACCTGCATTTACATGCTAGCTCTTGCACTGAGGTGAGACCCTTATCTGAATATAGTTTGATAAAATCATAAAATAATTCTGATTGGAGGAGGTTCTGTAGTTCAACTTCCCTGCTGTTATGCAGTCCTACCTATATATTTGGTTTCCAGTTGCTATATTTACAATTGTTTAGGGAGGCAAGACCACCAAAACCACACTATTTCTAGACTAAGACATGCATTTAATATAGGGAAAACTAATACCTTTAGACTAGTTATGTTACTGTCTACTATTGCATGTGTTTCAGAGAAGTACCCACTGAATAGTTTGTTACCTGTTTTCTTTCATGCTAGATTATGGTTTGCAGTCATACAGAAAAGAAGATTCTCCTGAGGGATCAAACTCATACCAGCAGCATTTGATACAGATTTATACAGCTCCTGAAATACATTCACTTTCAGAGTTTGAACCCAATTCTATGACAGATGTCTACAGGTAGTTAAGTTTTCCTGATCTTGCACTTAGTAATCTCATCTTGAGTATATTTAAATGACTATTAAGCTCAGTATAATTCTACTGTTGCTCCAAGTATATGTTTGATTGTAGTTTTTAGAAGATTGGTCCTGAAATACAGAACAGCACAGATATCATAGGATCTTCTCTTTCAAGGTAGATAATCAATTACTGAATTCACTGAATATAAATGGAAAGTTTACCAAATGAATTATAAGGAGTCACTCTAGACTGGTAGATAAAAAGGCATAAAGATATGCTACTATATACCTATCCATTTTTTCTGTTGCTGTTTCTTATAAAAAGGTGGATTATTTTCAATAATGGTGATACTTTAAAAGTTAATAGAACCAATGTTCCAGGATGTCACAATAAACATATGCATCCCGTAATTTTATAATTAATGTCTATACACTATTTGCTGCATATACACAGTGACATTTTTTGGTTTACAGAGGAAAAAATAAAGGTGAGAAGAAGAATGGATGCACTAGTGAAAAGCTTCATCCCTTTCCTTTTGAAAGCTTTCATAGAATATCATTTTCCAATGGCTTATTTGGCTATCAGGTTTAGCCCTGCCGGTGGTGGATAGCTTCTATACAACCACTTTTCAGATAAGTGGGATTACAATTGTAAACAAGTGTATGCATATTAAATGTGCTAGAACACTATTAATTTTAATTCATTCTGTCAGATTACCTGAGCAAGAATTTGAGATCTCAGTAGTATTTATGTCTATAGGCTTAAACATGTCCTGAGAATTTGCTTCAAAATGGTTCAGCTAAGGCAGTTTGTGATTGTGTTGGTGTTTCTGGCTACTGTCATTTGTCCTGTGTCAGTCTGTACTTTTTCAATATGGAGTGGTGTTAGAAAGTACTTTGTTCCAATTAAACAATAATTTTAGGGTTGTCTCATACATTCCAGTTTATCATTGCCAAGAAAATGTTTCCTAGTCTTGTCTGTTCTCACTTTGCTCCTGTTCGGAATAGATATTGTTACTTGACTTTGCAGGCAACTCGGCCTCCTGAAAGCATTTCTTGTGAAGGGCTTCCCTTAAAATAGTCTTAAAATCTGCTTTACTCATGTTATACAGGACTACAATGAACTTTTGACAGACTCAATGAATCTATCTTGCTGTCAATCTGCGTATTTGCCAAATCCAGGTCTACTCTTGTGGTACTGCACTTGATCCTTTCTTGGTAAAAAAAAATAAAATAATAAGAGATAAAATCAGAAAAGGGAGAATATCAACATGCAGACAGGGAATGTAAATAATGTATAATTTAAAAAATCTTCTTATCTGGGCTATTCTTCAGAATTTGAAGAAATCCTCAGTTTTTATCTGTACAAAAATTCCATTAGTATTTCTGAAGGTAAGGCCCAAATAAAAAATTAGTAGAAGCTGCAGGAGTGGGACTTGTAATTTACTGTGCTCTTACAGATGAATCACTTGCTCTTAAACTTCTCCAGGGAAAGTGTTGGTCAGATGGGAAAGCTAAAATGGAAATGAGAACAGGAGCATGAAAGCAGCTCCTGATTTGAGCTGAAGAGGCTGTTACCACTCACAGTTTCTCCCAGATCAGCTCCCCTTGATTTGTAATCATTATGTGAATCTTACTGTCCACTATATTAGGACTTTATTGAGCAGTGCTGATGAAGCTGAATTGAATCAATACTACTTTATCGGAGTTACCATCATCTAATTATTCTCCTCTAAAACCTGTTTAACTTTGTTGTCTCACCAGGTTTGATATTGCTTTCTACTACCACATCACCCCAAAATTAACAGAAAAATCTCGTCAGATTAATTTCTACAGTATTCAGCATAGTTTATTATTTTATTTGCCAGTGGTGGTCCACAAGTGGAGTGAAAGACAGATATACATATCCCATTATACAACCAGAATGTCTTACAGAACAGAGCAACCATTAGCAACACAACAGACTGCAAACCAATATTGTCCATAAAAGTAAATGTTACCGAGCAGAGTTGCATGCAGGGGGTTAATTATTACACTGTTTCATTATATAAAGAGACAAGAGCATCTTCGTCAGGCCTGTTGGCTTGAGGAGGTGCTTTCTTCTGAGAGATCACTGTTCTAAAAGGTCTCTAGTGGGTTCAGTGAGGACGTTAAACACCCAGTTGTTAGTGTCTTTTTCCATTCTTCATCCTTGATGAATATATTTGACCTTGGTTCAACTGAGGAAGATGATGATAAGGAAAATATGATTCAGAAGGAACAAGTAGACATGTCTACTACAAAATATTTATTCTGGACACACCGTGTCATCCTTGACTTTATGGAGATTTTTTAGACAGTGATCTATGCTGAAAAGAAGCCACTCCTCCAACTGATGGTCACGATGAACCTACTCCTGCCCCTTGATTGGAGCACAAATCCGTCCTCTGTGTTTAACTGGATTATGTACGTATCTCTGCACATATCATCTCTGGATTCCATTAATTCTTCCAGAGAAAATTGCTTTGCTATCCATCAAATTCAAACTCTTTATCTCTGGGCTTGATAACTGTGAGAGGATAATGCTACGAAACATTTGGTAACAGATCTCTGAAAACACAGAGCAGTACACACAGCAGTACTGTTGCCATCCTTCCTTTTGAGATACTGGGCTTTCAGTCATACAAGAAGGAAGAATAAGAAATCATGGAAAAAAGAAATCACTGACTCCATTGACTGTTATTTCATTAAGATTTTGCTTTGTTTTTATTCTGCAGTTATGCCATTATTTTACTAGAAATTGCCACAAGAAGTGACCCTATACCAGTAAGTAAAGATGAACTACCTGTGAAATTTGCACGACTGCTTTGATTCTGTTTCTACTGAAGACATAAACCAAACTTTGAGTAACTGCACCTTTGAGTTACTTTTTGAGTACACATTTTCCTTGTGATTTTCTCGGCGTTAGTTCAGTTCCCATGGAACATTGCAATTAGGGCTTCCTCACATATCCACCTGTCTTCCCTTTCAGACCTTTGAAAAAGAGACGATGATAAAAATAACGTGGCTCCAAACCTGACTTTTGATTAGTTCTGTGAGGCTTAATGGTGGCAGGAAGGGATGCAGAGGGAACATATGTCCTAATATCTTCCTTTTTATTCTATTCTTCCTTTTCCTGCCATGCAAGAGCCCTTTTAGTGGAATCTTGAATGCTAGAAAGGCAAATCAGCTGCTCTCCATAAGGAAAATCTCTGTTTTGGGTGTGTCTTGTGATCAGTGCTAAATGGCAAACACACAAAAAAATGCACCTTGAAATTAAACCTGATGGTCTGGATATGTAACCATGTTGTCTCTGAAAAAATTTGCTTAACAAGAATTGTAACAATAAAGTCTTGAAACTACCATTCTTCCAATCATGACAGTGTGTGATAGAGCAATGTAGGCCTTGTGATTTTTAAATGTTTCCCAATATCTTGCCAGGTATTCAATTGTTTATCTCATATAAACACTGAGATTAAAGCCTTTCAGCCATGAAAAAGCTTTTAGAAAAGGTGACCCAGTTTAGACTAGTTATATGCTTTTTTATCCTCTTTACTTTCTTTCTTGCACCCTTGAGTAAAGAAGCAGAGCAGGAAGTGATAAGGGAAGATGTTATATAAGTAACGATGGTAATAGTAATATAATTTCAATGGCTGGCATGATAACCATGCCACTAATTTCAACATTGTTTGATCCCCTTTACTTTAGAAAGATGGTATGCATTCAGCTGAATATTTTTGGTGCCCACCTTTGTCAGAATTAATTTCAGGAAAGGCTGAGAATTCTTGCCCATGTCCCACAGATTACATAGAGGTAAGTAAGATATAATATTGTGTACAAAGATTCTTTACTGAAGTGAATTTATGTCATGTCCCAGAATTTTTACAGCAGTATGTAAAGAAACCAGAAATCAAGAAGTACTCCTCAAATAAGGCGCAATGAAATTATTTAATATCTTTAATTAAAAAAAAAGTCATTGTGATAATGAAACATTCAGCTGTTCCCTCCAGTTGTCAGTGTAATAGGTTATGGTTTTAATATGCAATCATTCATTTTTGTGCATTTTCATTTTATTATAAAGTGTTGAATTCCATACATATTTTATGTCAGTAATATCTATTCAGCTTACTGGCAGAGGGCTTTCAAATAATAAAGTTTCTGTCTCAGGCAAAGTATCAGTTTGGTTTGATTCTCATGCAACAGGTCTGTGTGTTCAGTAGCCTCAAACTGCCTGATAAAGTACACCTCCCCCCCGCCTCCCTTTACTTAAATCAGAACAAGATTTTGGTGTCCTTATTTCAGCTTAAGTGCAATATAACTGACTTTGCTGATTTGTAGCAATCTAAATGTAACAAACTTCTCATTAGCAGCACTTGATTTTAACCGGGAGTTAACATTCTTAAAGAGTAGTTGAGTTTTTAATCTTTTGTGAGTTTGATGTACAGAGAAGTCCTCTGAAAACTGTATGTGAGTTCGCCAGCATAACACTATCTTAAAATATAAGACGAGAGCTTAAGCAGTGTTCAGCAGAAGAAATGTGTGTATCTAATTCATGATTTCCCACAGCAGCATTTTTATGAACTAACATCCTTTGTTCAGCAAAAACTTGTAGAATTCCACAGACCTCAGTATACCTCTGACACTTTTCACCAGCTGTAGATGACCAGTTTGCATGAAAAAATAATAGTAATAATTTTAAAACTGCCTATGCTTGGAATGATAAAAGGCTGTTTGCTTTTGTCTCTCTTTTTTTCTTTCTGCAGTTAATCAGAAGGTGCAGAAAAAATAATCCATCCCAAAGGCCTACATTTGAACAAATAAAAAAAATGTTGTACAAGATGAATCCTAATAAAGTTAGCCCTGTTGACATGATGATGACTCTGGTAAATTTAGTTTTTTATTCCAATCCAAGTTAGTCTGCTCACTTGCAATCGCTTTCACCTCTATCCTTCAGGTTTGTTTTTTGATCTCATACCCCTTGTTTGGTGAGAAAACCCAGTTATTTGTTTGCCTCTGGTGGGCTAATTGTAGCTGTAGTTCTGCTTGAGACACAGCTTTCCTTCTCTTTCAATTTCTGTCCTTTTTCTTAACTTTCTCAACTTCTTTGGGACTGAACACTTTCTTCAGTCAAATGTTGTTTGGTGTTTAATGTGCTCACAGGATACTATATTCCCCTTTTCCCAAGACTCAGTGGTCTTACAGTACCAGGGATATAGAATCCCGGCATGCACCAAAGAGCATGTTTACAGATGCATTTTGAGCAGAGTATCTCAAGGCCATCAGCAGAGAAAGGAGATTCCTGCTCCCATAGCCTATTACCCCACACAGAGGAAGGATATAAGAAAGCAAAATGTAGACTAGCACAGCAGGATAGTTTACAAAACAACATAGTGAGCTTTTGATGAAAGTCTGAGGCTTAGATACCTTTTGTTTTGGTGAGATTTTAATCCATCTCTGCAGCTTGGTCTCTGCATTGGATTAGACCCCTAAAGTTTACAAGAACTTTGAAAAGTCTCAAATCAGCTTCTGCTGTCAAGCAACAATTTCAAATCTAGATTCATAAATTTACCTAAGGAGAAACTTGATCTTTGGATTTTGTAAAAAATTTTAGGTGTCTTAGACCTGCACCTTTTCTTATCTTGGAGAGTTTTCCAAGCAGAATCATTCAAATGCTTAAATCATATCCAACTATGAATCTATTTCAACAAAAAGATTATTTTATGCAATTCTCTATGTTATTTAGATGGAGAAATATAACAAACATCTGGAGGTACTGGTTTCTGAGAGAACCCAGGATTTAATGCATGAAAAACAGAAGACTGATCGTCTATTGTATAGTAAGTTATAAATACTGGATCTTCTTCTCAATAATAATTTTATTTCAGCTGTCTAATTACAAACAGCAACCCTTTGATAAGTCATTATTTAATAGCAAGGAATGAATATAATTGTTACTTTTCAACAAAAGTTGGAAAGATATTTACGTACTTTTATACTTCCCCCCTAGAAACCAGTACACTCCTCTGAGAGGTGTGACCCAAGAATCCTTAGTGCTCTGACTTTGGATTTACATGGCAGTCCTTCTGCTTAGTTATAAATGTTGGGGAATTGCAATTGGTTACTTTTGATTGTAGTGTATCCTCTGGCATTATGCAAGAAAAGAGGCATAGAGGAACAGGAATACACATATGAGAGAGAAAAAAAGAAAAAGGTGTGAAGGTGCAAGACAGGAGAAATAAAGACAATTAAAAAAACAAAATAGAGAAGTGATAGTAAACAAACCTAACACAGGTAGAAAGTACTAGCAAAGAGTTGGCATGGAAGGAATTAGTAAAATCCCAAGTCATACTATTAAAATCTAGCCTTATACTTCCTTGGAATGTATAGATTTGGGGTTTTTTTAGAACTAAAAGTTATGGGCCATCAGAAATATGTAGACATGTTATCAGTGAGATTTACTGTGAATTCTCACATTACAGCAGAGCAGATTTTGATGCCAAACTGTGTTTCAATCTTTGTAATATTTCATGTTTCTGATCATTGCTTCTCACCTTTAAACAAGCAGGTTATGTTTAATGTGTGATTTTACCATGCCAAAAAAGTAACAATGCACTACTTTCTACAACAGGTATGTTGCCGAAACAAGTAGCAGATGATCTCAGGCAGGGAAAACCTGCACAAGCCCAAAGTTACTCAAGTGCCACCATCTTTTTCAGGTAAACAAAAATGAAAGATAAGACCAGAACTTACTCCTACTGGAGAAACTTCTAGGCTTCTAGTGGAGGTGAAGCTCCTAACCAAGTACAGAATTTCTATCTGAGCTGCCATCTATTGTACCAGCTGTCTCTTCAAATGAGTGTTTTCCAAAATTCTCACACCAATCAATTTTTAATTATAAATACTTAAATAAACAATGAGATTACTGTGGAGCTCTAACGTACAGCAGAACATCACTTTACATGTGTTACTCATGCATGAATGTATATTTGATAATACAGGCCTAAGTAAAGACTCCAGCATTTAGCTGTGTAAAGAAAACTTTTCTATCCTTGCAGTCCACATGGATTTACAGTTTTAAATTTTTATATGTGCATGAAGCAACATATAAACGGCATGCCTTCACTTGTCACAAATGAACAGATATCAAATTTCCTTTTTTCATTTTTACATAACCTAAAATTGAAGACTACTTAGTCTGTTGCAGATTAAAGTCTATCTGTAAAAATGGTTTACTGCATCGGTAAGCAAAAAGACTTAGGTCAGTCTGTCCTTTTTGAATGGAAGGAGTCTGCTGCCAATTTAAATAAATTAAGAAAAAACTATTCCATAAGATCCTTAGCAAAGGAAATACTGAGAGAGAAGTTTGACATAGTTCCAACGAGAAATTATTACTGTGTGTTTAGGTTTACCAATCTGCAATGTTTAAGGTGGTGGATGAGTGTGTTCTTTCTGTTGTGTTTTAACAGTGACATTGTCGGCTTCACTCAACTGTCTAGCAGCAGCACACCGTACCAAGTGGTAGATCTCTTGAACAAGCTTTATACCACTTTTGATGAAATCATAGATAACTATGATGTCTATAAGGTGGAGACAATAGGAGATGCCTGTAAGTTCCTTGAGCTATGGACAATCGTGGGGCTTATGGAGCATCTGGGAAGAGACTAATTTGATGACAAGGAAGAACAGATGAAGGAGATTTGGAAAGCTTGTTACCAGTGATAAGACCACATAAAGCAATTAGGAGATAAGTCCTACCTACCAGAGCCCCAGCAAACTTAAGGAACATTTTCCTGCATAACTTAGATCATTTGTACAACTGATGAGTGTTGTGGACAGGAAAAATGAATTGAGTAAAATACCACTGACATTTATTTGGTTCCTATGACCTGTAAGGTCTGACTTTAAACCTTGGCAGCAGATTAATCAAGCTGGCAACTTCTGTATCACAGGAACACAACCAAAAAATTTGCCTTCTACATGGGATCCTAGACGTCATTCCATATTACTATCTCTGTCTTTTTTTTTTGCAAAGACCATGATAATCTTCTCTCTCCAATACTCCGTAGGGGCTTGACTGTCTCTTCTCTTTGGGTTTTTAGGAAAATGGCTTTATATTTGCTACCATGGGAATCTACTGGAGACTGATTACCATTAAAACTCAGTTCCATCAAAAACCTAAGGGAATCTAACAGAACTTTTGGGTGAGACAGAAGGGAAGTCCTGTAAGAGATTCGGAAAAAAAATCCCAACTCTTTTTTTTCAGTGCCATAGTTCAGCGTGTTCTCAAGCATAAAATTCCTGAACAAATGCACCTGAGAGATCCTGAAGAGACCTGTTTCTTGTCCTACAAAGTCATACAATCAAAGAATCACAGAATCATAAAATATCTTGAGTTGGAAGGAACTCACAAGGATCATTGAGGCAACTCCTGATGCTTCACAGGACAGCCCCAAGAATCACACCATGTGCCTGAGAGTGTTGTCAAAACCCTTCCTGAACTCTGTTGGGCTTGCTACTGTGCTTCCCTGAGGAACCAGTAACCAACCACCCTCTCTCTGGATGATGAATCTTTTCCTAGTATTCAGCCTAAACCTCCCCTGACACAATTTCAGGCCATTCCCTCGGATCTTGTCACTGGTCACCATAGAGAATAGATCAGTGCCTGCCTCTCTTCTTCCCCTCACAAGGAAGTTGTAACTGCAATGAGGTCTCCCCTCAGCTTCCTCTTCTCCAGGCTGAACAGACCAAGTGACCTTAGCCTCTCCTCATACGGTTTCCCCTCAAGGCCCTTCACATCTCTGTTGCCCTCCTTTGGACACTCTCTAATAGCTTAATGACTTTCTTATATTGTGGCACCCAAAACTGCCACAATATTCAAGGTGAGGCTGGCCCAGTGCGGGGCAGAGTGGGACAATCCCCTCCCTGGACCGGCTGGTGATGCTTTGCCTAATGCCCCCAAGGACAAGGTTGTCCCTCCAGGCTGTCAGGGCACTGCTGATTTGTGTTTGTAACGTAAGATACAGAGGTATACCCAGAAATGCCAAGACAGTGGAAAGAATTCAAAAGTTTATTTAGAAGCCCAGAATATGATAAACTTACAAATATCTCACAGTGCTTATTGCAGCACCAGCCCCAGGAAGAAAAAGGCAAACCTCCTGTTCGCTCCCAGGCTTTATCATTGCTGGCCCCCTCGACTCTCCCCAGGGCACAGTTGCCCTGTAGCATTCCTGTAAATGTTATCTCTCTCCTCTCATGTCTCAGAGAGAGAGGCTGAGAACTTCTCTTGCTGTGAAGAGAGGGGGAGGAAGCGTTGAAACTGCCTTTGAGAAAGAGTTACCTTTTAGACAGAAAGCCTTCCTAAGCAAAAACTCTGTCTCCTCATAACAAAATCTTCCAGAAAAAAAAAGGGTAATCACATGTTCAATTGTCATCAACCTCCAGACTTGCTTCCAGAGTGCTGCTCTCCACCATCTCATTCCCCAGTCTGTAGGAACACCCAGAGTTGCCCCACCCCAGCAGCAGAATCAGGCACTTGCTCTTGTTAAATATCATACAGCTGGCAATTGCTCAGCCCTCTGATTTGCCAACCTCTCTCTGCCTTTGAGGCAATTTAGTATCATTGGCAAACTTAGTATCCCTTTGAGTCCTACCTGCAGATCAAAGATGTTGAAGAGCACAGGGCCTAAGATGGAGCCCTGCAAAACCACACTAGTGACAGGTCATCAGTCTGATGTTACCCCATTCACTATCACCCTCTGTGCTTGACCCACGAGCCAGTTGCTCACCCACCACATGATGTGTTTACCCAGCTGTGTGCTGGACATTTTATCCAGAAGGATCCTGTGAGAGACAGTATTGAAAGATTTACTGAAATCCAAAAAGATTACATCAACTGGCTTCCCTTACTCAACTAGATCAGTTGTCATAAAAGGAAATTAATTTTGATAAGCAGGACTTTCCTCTCATGAAGCCATGATGGCTGTGACTGATGACTGTGTTGTCTTTCAGGTATTTTTCAGTAACTCCCAGAATAATCTTCTCCATAATGTTGTCAGGCACTGAAGTGAGACTGATGGGCTTGTGGTTTTCAGGGTCATCCTTCTTCTTCTTGAAAATTTTGACAACATTTGACAGCTTCCAGTAAGCTGGGACATCTCTAGATTTCCAAGACCATTGAAAAAGCATTGAGAGAGGTTTCATAATGACTTCAGCCAGCTCTTTGAGTATTACTGGATGAAACCCATCAGGCCCCACAGATGTACAGGGATCCAGCTGGAGCAGCAAATCCCATATAAGTTCAGGGTTTAGTGTGAGTTTGTCATTCTCACAGTCATGGTCCTCCAGCTCAGCACTCTGGTACCCTCAGAGCTCATCATCAGTGTTCAAAGCATAGTACAGGAAGCATAGGCCATTGCCTCTTTTTATAATAGCTCCCCAAAAACAACAGGTACTGAACAGCCATGTTCCCACTACCTGTTCCACTTCAAGCATTCTCAATTAAGGGATAAAGGGAAAAAGAAAGGGTTGGAGGGGATAAATCCTGTGTAAAAGTGAGAAGGAAATATGTTTTTCAGAGCTAGGGTAATTACACGCATAAGCTGTTGCTCTTGCCTTTGTTTGTTTCTGGCTTACTCTGCTTAGGAGGCACAACTGTGCCCTAGGATATGACAGAATTGGGTTTCTTTTTGTTTGGTTGGTTGTTGTTTTTGTTTCATTTGGGCAGCACCCTTTGGTAAATCTGTGTGATGTCAAACATTAACACAATTGCATTGTTGTGTTAAGATATGGTGGTTTCAGGAGTACCCAAAGAGAATGGGATCCTTCATGCCGGTGAGATTGCAAGCATGGCTTTAGACCTCCTGGATGTCTGCAAGACTTTTAAGATCCCACACAAGCCCAACACCCTTCTAAAAATAAGAGCAGGAATCCATTCAGGTATGTTGAGAGGGCTGCAAAGGTGTCTTCCTCTGGCTCGACAAATACTTCTGTAGTGGCCATTTTATCTCCATTAGGAATTTCTTCATAACTTCATTAAGAAGTTAATTTCTTGATATGAGAGAGAATACATCATAGAGGTCATCCCAACAGAATAAACTATTGGATACATGGAATATTTGTAACTCAGTGCAGAATACAACTTTGGAAATATTCCATGGTCCCAGTGCCTTTGCTGATGCAAGTGAGAACTGCCTTTCTATATCTGCTACTTGTCCTTTTCAGATGTTCTCTTCTCAAAACTGTGAGTTGTTTCTTGACTCTTTGATCTAACCTTTGCTCTCAGACTCCCAGCTCCCTGATCTAATCTGATGTGTGATTGCAACTGCTTCTTGTTAGATAGTCAGAGTTGGACCTGTCCTGTGCAGCCCAGCACCTGCCAATTAAACAGCATACATTGTCTCACCAAGAGATCATATCTTCTATTTTTTAAATCAGTTGGGGCTGACACGAAGGAACCAAAATGCTCATTTTCTGTCTTCAGCAGGAGCAGGTTGCTTTCTGTTCTCGCCTTTCCATGTGATAATGAGAGTTGTGTGTGCAACTCCTATTGACGGCATTCCTATCTCATTGGCCCTGAAAATAAGTTGAAATGGGGTTCTGCAGATGCCTTAATTCATACACAACACCTCCATCACATCACCACTTCCCCCACTGTTCTCCTTTGAGGCCTTTTTGCAATTCCCTCCATAGTTCTGAAATCTATCTGTAAGACAGATGTGTAACCCATGTAAAGACAATACTGACACTCAGTCTTTAACTGGTTAATGAATGAGATATAAAGTAGTGTAGGAAAAGCCATAAGGCTGTATGATTGATTACGTGATTTATAAACACAAAATGCTTTATCTTATTTTTCTTAACAGGGCCAGTTGTAGCTGGAGTTGTTGGAACCAAAATGCCACGGTACTGTTTGTTTGGAGACACTGTGAACACGGCTTCCAGGATGGAATCTACCAGTGAAGGTAATAAGGAACAAGCTGCAGGTGGGATTTTGATCATCCTTGCATGAATTCTGAAAAAATGCTGTGCTGAGTTTTGAGTCCTGACTTATTCAAGAAACTGCAAATCCTGTAAGAAGGTCCTTGATTTCTGGTTCCAGTCTGCCTGTGAACAAATTATGACAGTGATATTCTCTACAACCATTTTTGTAACCAGATCCCCTTATTCCCCAAGTCTCAGAAAGGGATTTTTGTTGCTGTGAAGTTCTATATGGTAAAAAAAGGTAAGAATATGATAAAATGAGAGGCAAATGATTATGCTCAGTGTTCCTATTTCTACCTGGCACCCCGCTGAATTTATAGTAAAAATACTTTCATAACTCCCCTCTTTTGCTGATAAATTTCTCTAATGGAGAACACAAGAGGTGGTAGGACACCATGGGAGCTGTGTCTGTCTTTAGCTGGTATAGAAGATTATGTATATGTCTTCCAGCAAAGAGAATAGACAGAAATTTCTAGAAATTAAAGCGTGGAGATATTCTCACCTTCACTTCTTCTCAGGAGATAACAGTTTAGTTTGCATACTTCATCTTTAGCCAGTATGAGCATTTGAACCTCACATTCTGATATACTTTAGCCCAATGAACAAGAATTTGGAAAAAAAATAAGAAAAGAAAGCGATTCAAGGTCAAAGGACCTTGATGGCTTTTTTTCCTTTCATTCATGAAATGCAGGTGAATAGTTTTATGGCTCACACTGTAGTGCATTGTAAATGTATGTGAACTAGGCAAATACAAGTTTTTTTCAAGTTTAATTTCATGACAAAAAGTGATGCTTTCAATATCTACCAGGATCCATTAAAAACAAGGCAGAAAGGCAGTGGAGTGGTCCTACATGATGATTTTGAAGATTATCTTTGGGATTTGAGAATCACCAGAATCTATTCCTTCCCACTATTTTATATATTTTTCCAAAGAAAATGCCAGTCTGAGCGCAACACACATAATTTCATTTTCTTTCTGCCAGTCTCACAGATAACTCCTTTCTTTCTCCTCCTCCTTTTAGGCTCCTTGAATCATCTTATCAGACCCGCCTTAAAACTAATGCCTTCAAAATCTACTTCCATTATTCTTCATAGTTCATCATTCATTTTTTTCTGTATGTCAGTCTCTTTCTCATATGGTGCATCAACACTGTAAACTTAAGTACAAAGACAGAGCTTTTAATCTTTCAAGCCTTTATTTTATCTCCCTCTTTCTCTGGCCATGTACATCTGACAATCTCAAATTACATTACCTTGTTTTCACCCTAAGTTGGTTACTTTAAAATAGATTAATTACTTACTAGAAATGTACATAAAAGTTGCTATCACCTGGAATCTGAGTGCTAGTGTCTTGTTCTCAAGCAGGACGACAAGTTAAAATATCATGTACCTACTGCAAAGAATATTTTTGAGATATATATCTATACATGTTGGAACACCTATTTCCTGATCTACAGGGAGTGTTCTGAGACTTTTAAAAAAATTTAAACAAATAAATGAAAGTGGATATTATAAAACTGTTATTTTCTGATATAAGAAAAATCACTAAGACAATCTTAGACAGTAGTACCATCAATCTGGCATATTTTTCAAACAAAGAAGCATAATGATTTACTCTGTGTCACTGATTGTTACAGGTGAAAAATCCTCAAAATGAAATAAAACAAAAATGGGGGGAGTTGTTTTTGTTGTTGTTTTGTTTGTTTGTTTGTTTGTTTGTTTTTTCAATTTTTAAAATTCTGGCAAAATTTTACTTTCTGGCAAAAGTAGAATTTCTTCTATCTGTCCTCTTCTTTCGTCCTTCCCCATCATTTGCAGAGGGCAAGGGAGGTGAGGTTTACATGAAAGTAAAATCTCAACTAGGAAAAAATCACGTTGTAAAAAAAATTGTGGAATTATGGTAATATTGTCTCTTCCACCTGTCTTTATTAACAGGTCAGAGCAAGGATAGCAGCTTCTTTAATGTTTAGACTTTGCTAAAAATTATATGTGCAAAAAAGAGCTGGCTCTTTATTGACCAGGAGGTAAAACTATATACAGTTTTCTTCACCAGATGAAATGGATGCTCATCAGTAGCACCAGCCAGGCAGCTGCAAAGAGTAGACAAATATTATTAGATGCAGAATGTGAAGAGTAGTGTTTGTTGACAGCCACACATTTGTTGTGAGATGCTCTCACAGACAGGCCAGGATACTGGAGCTTGTGTGTTAACATTTCAAATAACAGAGGAATAACAGCGAAGACATGAAAAAAAACAAGGGGGAGTTCATTAATGGGTCTTGAAATCTTTGGCACACATTAGGGGGTGGATCTGTCTTAGATGTTCAAATTGTTTGATAATATGACAACTATTTCTCTTTCCAGCTCTTAAAATACAGTGCAGTTCAAGTGTATACCAACTGTTGGAGCAGATTGGAGAGTATGTGTTAGTATGCCGTGGGAATTTACAAGTCAAGGTGTGTATGCAACATCTATGCTCAGCTTTTCAGAAAGGAGAGTGTGAAAGTACTCTGGAGTCCCTGAATTTTAACCCATGCAGTCCTTTATGTCTTGCAGTCCTTTATATCTCACAGTCCTTTAGTTAGACTAACTCCTGATCTGAAGAAAGCGCGGTCAAGTATTAAACCAGAACCAATTAAATGGCTTGTTCATGGAACAACTCTGATAAGTCAGAGATGAAGGACCTAGCCAAGCTTGGAAGTCCTGCATGGCACATTTAAAAAAAAGGTCATTCAGAGACATCACAAACCATCATGTGAGTTCCATAAGAGAACTAACATACTTGTGAACCCAATTTTGGATGGGACTTCAAAGAATTGTTTTAGTTGATACTGCTGCCATTATCTTTTAAGGGAAGGTCTTATGCCTCATTTTCCCTGCATGTAAAATGGCTGACAGTCACATCAATCTCCTTTTGGGACTTCTTTTGTGCTGTATTAAGAAAATTATTTCATAAATGATGGATAGTATTGTAACCCCATGACTAATCTTCTTCCTTAGGGGAAAGGAGACATGGTAACATACTGGCTTGAAGGTAAGAAAGCCTCTGACCTCCAAAAGACAAACACCAGCACTTCTGTGACTCCTCATGATGCCAACAGAACTTCATACAGCTTGATACCAGGTGTACTTTCCATTGAACCTCTCTGAAGCCCTGCTTACTAGCCAATCACCTGCTCCAGTATCCATTCTGGTTTTTGGCTTGCTAGATCATTCTGCTGAATTAGAAAATTAGAAAAGATGTAACACACCCCTTTGGCCTTGTGAATGTATTAGCTCACATTTCATTCACAGATGTCTCTCCTATTAGTGGCACCGAAAATACAAAAAAGCAAAAACTTATCTTGGGGAATAATACATACATACAGCTACCAGGGCAGAAGGTAGCTCCCTTTAGCGTTGCTTCTTGATTAGGTTTTGCTGAGTAATCCCCTGCCAGCAGCCACCATGACTTCAAGATCTGCTGGCCAGACATTCCAGCCTGTAAGGTGTTCCCACAAGAAAGAAGGAGACAATGCAGAATTGTAATTTAGTGGTACAATAAACCTTGTGGTTGTGATTGGTTTTGTGCTGTGAGAGTGAAAAGTGAGATGTGTGCTGTGTGAGAAAGCAAGGTCCATGGAAAGAGGGGGATGAAGCAGAGCAATGGATACAAATTGAAATGAGAATTTGTGCTGCTGCTTCCATTTAATCTCCATTGTTTGGAGCATAGAAAAAATAACAAAGAAAGTCTGGTGTGTCTCCATACAGTCCATTCCTAGGGACACCTGATGTCTTGATACAGAGATCTTGAAATCTTGGGAGGGAAACTAAAGACATTGCATGCTGCTGTTAAACAGACTAAAGTTCACTACAGCTGCTCTTGTCTTTGGCTCTTCTGGGATTTCTCCAAAAAACAGCTTTAACTTTAGCTAACGTTATATAGTTGCTTTGACCAATGAACCTACTATTGCTGGCTAGCTGTCTGTGAAATCAGACAGCCCTCTGAGTCACTGAGTAATCTAGGACACAGTTTAGAAAAGGTCATTCCTGAGCAAGCATTTCCTGTAAAGAGAGACCCATTCCTACAAGTGGAGCAATCTGTAGATGAGCATGATTCTGTGAGCATTGCACTAGCAGACTTCCTTTAAAAACTTACCTTTCAGGGCTAATCTGAAGAGTTTAGCCAGAACTGGACACATGAAATAGAGAGAGGAAGGATACAAAGCAAGGAACACAGACGTAGCTGATTTTGGCACATGAGAGTCCAGTCAAATTTTTTAAAATTAAAATTTTTAATTGGTTTTATATTTTTTGTAAGCCTAAAAAAATACTTTCTCTGCTTTTGAGTTTCATATTAGTAGGCACAGTTACCTTTTTTGTAATCTTTGTGAAATAAACCTTTCAGTTATCCAGAGCCAAGAGATGTTCTCTAATACAACAATTTCCTTCATGCAAATGCTACCTAGAAATTGTCAAACTCTCTGCTCTGTTGTAATCCTTCGTGATGTATTAAATACTTTATATTATTCTTTAAATGAGTTTGCATTGTTTACATTTTTATTAAAAAGGCACATATGATAGGGGTTTTTATGAAATGTGGATATGAAAGCATAAGTTTTGTTGTATTTGTCTGTAGCAGTATTTCAGTTTTAACTCTTTTGCTTTATCTTAATGTTGTTTATAGAATTAAAAGCTCTAAAATGTGTGTCTTACGAGTTTAACTTCTTCTAGAAAGAAATGAGTGGTGAGTGACCATTAGCAAGCTTGTTGGATTGACAGCTTTCACCTCTGACAAGTCTTCAGGTAGTAATTCAAAGTCTGCTGAAGATAAAACAGACTCTTGCAGGCTTAGGAGGCTTAGAGTCTGATGTTTATCTACAAAAGAGATACAACTTGAATGATGCCTGTGTCCGCTACTTTGGTTTTGTTGTTACTTATTGATCAAACAGAGCATCTCCAGAATGAGAACTGGATTATTTTCTAAGGACCATAGAATCTGTGATAACTCTTCTGCAACTTCGAGCAGTAGTCCTTATGAATGTCAGTTTGTCTGATGACTGTAACAATATGATGCTCTTCCTCCAGAAGACAGAAGTACAGGGTAATGAACGTCACAGATGCAAACACAAGTGTCCTCAGCCAATTGACAAGTATTTTAAGATTTATCTCGGATTTTGACAAGTGTAGTCAATGGCTACAGAAATATTTCAGATGCAGGAAAGCATTTACCAGCTGGTAACATATGATAACAACACAGTGTTCATCTGTGAGATGCTTTAAATCCACAGAAATTCACAACCCAGATGTGGAGTCAGTCAGCTAATCTAGCAGGAATTCTTTTCTAAAATGGCGCTTTATATGGATAAGTATGTGATATGTTCCTCCTTTCCTTGGACATTTTATTCCTACCAGAAAACGGGAAAAAATTACAATAGTAGAGCTGAAGAAGTGAAAGCAATATGTACCTTATAGATACTTCATTTCTTCACTCAGCAGCCATTCACTGTCCACAGTCATGCAAAATAATAGAGAGGATACTAATACTGTATTCATGATGTGGTGATTTTATGGAAGGATTATGCATTTTGATTATTGCTTGTTGCAGTTCCATCTACATAGCACTGGGAATGTAGATAGGAATATTAAAAAATCACACAACACAAAAACTGACTTATGAAAGTCTTTAATTAGATTGATGAACTTTCACTATCTTGTTTCAACTTGAATATTGAGGAACAGACTGAATAATCACAACATTTAAAAAATCACAACAAGTAAAAAGAAAAAATCATTAACATATTTCCAAGTGTAAAACTTCCTAGATTTCATTCAAACAATTGACACTGGAAAAAGACTATGTTTTGCCACCAAGAAGCTATTCTTTATCCCCTAGATTAGGTAGCAAAGGTCTTATATTTAGCTTGTTATTGATATGTGCAGGGGGTCTCCAGTTTCAAGGTTATATTTGTAAACAGAAAAGTTATCTACTTCTTCATACAGCTGATTAGTCAAACCAAAGACATGAATTTATCCAAATAAAAGTGAAATGAAATCAGGTGTTCTTTGCAGACAGTGCAGGGACATAATATGAATGTTGAGCCTGACCGTGCAGTCAAAGGACGCAGAGTCTCTCGAAGATCTATGTCTGATTAGTACGAGATTCCCCAGTATGTAGAACATCTCTCCCACCCCACTTAGACACTTAAAAATTACTAATAGCCCTTCCATTTGAATTGACCTCAACAGTAAGAATCTTTGGTTTTTTTAAGATTGTCTTTCTGGGGCTGTCCTTTCAGACCAGTAAAAAGACAAGGCTATGCAACATTATTCTGACTATTCTCCAGCTGACTACCATCTGCTTTTCAGTTAATGAGTTCTCTGTCCTCCTAATTCCTCTCTGAATTTTTCCCTACTTCATGCCAGTATAAAACATTGGATTATATATTTTTTACATTCTAAATTGGAATTCAGAAATGAAATAATTTGCAATAAAATGTCCTCTCCAAAGAAAATACAGGAAAATTCCCTTTCTAATTTTAAATTTGCTTAAATTAACTTTCTAATATAGAGACATAAGGCAACCAGTTTGAAATGTGAGAGAGTGGGTTTTGTAGATTTTGTGAGGAAACTTTCCGAAGAGCATTCATACATCTACTGATGTTATTTAGTGCCCCACAGGATACTAACCACAGTCCTGTGGTTCAGACAGCAAACAAGCTACCCCATCTTCTGTAATTGTACCTCACCCTTCCACTGCAGTAGGTTTAAAGTGCATATGCATCCTTTATGGAACTAAATTCAAAAAAACTGGATTCAATAGTTTCCATATAGCACTAAGTTTGACCCTGAAGATTCACATCACATTTTTACCGTTACGCCTTTGTGAATTTTGCCTTGGATTTCAACAGCAACAAAATAGTTACTTCCTGCAAGTGAATGCCAAATATGAAGCTAATGTAGTAGCATCCTTATGTACATGACTGTGTATAACTGCTGACTATTACTGCATTTCATAGTAAAATACAGTGATGTGCAAATAAGTGTTTTGATGAGATCTGAAAATGAATCAGCTTTCCTGGCATCAGATCCCCACTACGTCTAATTTATTTCTGTTGCTCTTGTATCCTGCCTTCAGGCAGAAAAACACTCTCTGTCCCCACCTAAGGAGCCTGTTCAGGGAAAGCTACTGAAGAGAAGATACACATATGGCAGAATGCACTAAACATATTGCCTCTGTGACCAGAATTTAACACAGTTAATCTGACAAATTTGGTTACTTTTGCTGTCATGAAGGACACTTCTTTTTCTGTTCTACTCTCATTAGAACAAAGTACAGACCCAGATTTTCAAAGTGTTTAACCCTTTTTCACTCCCTAAGTAATGACACGAAATTGAAATACTGGAACTGAATCTTTCAGAATTGACAAAAGGTTCAAGGCTTTTACCAATGGTTTGGGGAAATACTGAATGCAAAGCACTGGAAAATTTCAATTTTCAATTGCCAGGATTTCACAGGAGCTGTATTGAAGCACAGTCCTGGGATACTTTAACTCTGTTGAAAGAACTCTGTGTTAAGCAGCCACAACAGAGTTGTTCTTAAAAAAACTTTCTTCTCCTAAAGGATGGAAGGAATTATAAATTGCAACAATAGGCTTGAAGCAGAAAAGTTAGGTGAGGTATTAGAAAGACACCTTTGAGGAGATCTCAGATTAATATGTGGCTACATTGTGCATTCTGTGACCTGCTCTTGCAAACGAATGTATAATGTATATGCACCCATCCATGGTGCAGTACGAAAAAACATTAAGCATAAACACTTGTGTGTATCTGACACAAGGCTAATTCATGCAACTGTTCTGAACGGAAAAGAAGCCATGATTTAAACACCAATGAAAGCTGAAACTCCTTGTCTGGTAAAGACACAGAGGGTCTGGAATTCTAAGACTGACAGGACCGATAAACTAACAGTAAGGCTTATTGAAGAAAGTTTGCCAAAGAGCAGTAAAAGTCACTTCTAGATCCATTCTCTGTGTTGTTTCCAGACATAAAAGGGCAGATACCACCAGAGAAATAACAAACTCTCCGAGAGCAGTCCCAGTAGGGATTGTGTGTTCAGGCTGGCTGCAGAGTAAAAATGGGTTCAGCACGAGCTGCTTTGCAGCTGATGCCCCACTCTGTGTGTTAAGAATCTGTCAAGAAAACACTTCTAGTCTACATCTTAGGAAACTCCTCTACATGTTTTAATACAATTCATTTTGGAAATTTAGACAGAAACCTTTCAGGACTTAAAAATCTTCATGTCAGAACTGCATTGTCTAGCAATATGGCTTTACCGGCAACGTGTTGAGACTCAAGATTCTATGTGCTGATTGTGCTCTGCAAATAAATAGATCAGTTCCTACATGCAAAGGAAAATCAAGTTGCCTTGGTGACCTGACAGTCACCCATCTCTAACCCACCACAAAATTCCAAGCCTGTGCTGCAAAGAACTGACAATTTAGTTGGATCATCAAATGGATGATGTAGTGTCAAATTCTACCACCCTGGTCAAAAGCAGGAGTTCATTCTGTGAACAGTCTGGTATGTAGCAGCAGAAATGCTGAGAGGGGATCATAGTAGCTGTTACTCTGCTAATTACAACACAATAAATAGTTACTAAAGTCAGGACTGCAGAGAGGTTGGATTAGATGGGGAGGAACTGCCTGCAGAAGAGCAGGATATTTCTGCAGAATGAAGATCAAGAACACAATACCAGTCCTGAGAGATAGGACAAAGTCTCCTGAGAGAGACTCTGAGCACACTTTCCTCCCGCTTGTTCCATTCCTGGCAGAAAGGACCAGCTACTGCTAAGTGCCCAGGAGGACAAGCTGCACACTAACTAAAACTTCCAACTGCCTGTTAAAGACTTTGCAATGATTAGCTTGCATGAGTGTAAAAAATGCTATTTGTGACAACAGAAATTTAAAAAAAGTAAAAACAAAATTTCCCTGTGTACCATTGATCTATGTATCACAGATAAACTTTACTACAACACTACAACAAATGCTATTCCAAAAATAACTTTTATATATCTTACAAACCTTCTCTGAATGTCCAAATCACTGGTTTAGTTCAAACACTATGTACAACCTGCCACCCATGTTTTAGGACCAAGCAGTATATGACAATAGACATTTATCCCACAAGCAGAGCTCCCCTACAGCTGTATGCATTATTTGGAAGATAACACTGAGAAGAAAAGTGGGATTTTGATCCAGAGGTTTTTTAAACTAGTAAGAACAGAAAGAAGCTCTCACCTCCGGTCGTGGCTTAGAGTCACACCCCAAGCTGTGGTATCCTGAAGCCAAATTCAGACTAGAAGCTGCCTCTGAAAAGCAACATGATTATTCCTTCTTGTTCTAAGGTCAGCACTGGTACTGCAAGTTCTAGTGGCCGTCAGAAGAGACCACATGAGCTGAACAAAAATAAAGTCCTAGTAGCTCTCTGGCCTGGGTATGTTATCTGCGTAAAAACCTTGAAGCTTCTGTCATGCTATCTTCTATAAAATAAGCAGTAGATTTCTACTGGCAAAACCATGGTGTTTGAAAAAGGTCACTTTATTAAAAAAACCCACAAACAAATCAACAAATGCTTATTTTTAAAATGGCCAAATTAGTCCATTTCCATTTCATTCTCTAACTAGCAGAAAAGAAAGGACAAAAATGTAAAGAAAGAGATTTCAGAGGCCATACTAATATGTTTCTTTAACATCAAATTTTCACACGTTCAACAAACAACTTTAGTGGATCATTGTGGATTAGCCTAGAAATATTGCCTAAAGTTGTAGTTTGTTAAGAAATCTTACCTCAGCAAAATGAATTAGAGGGATGAAATTGCTTGTAAATATTACATTTTAACCATAATTTTTTAAATATATCTTTATATATTGTGGGAAGTTTTCACTCCCATTAAACTTTGCTTTAATACAAACATTCTCGAGTTTTTACACTAAGAATGGAAAAACGCGTGTGACTCAGATCTGCATGTCTGTATCACAAGTTAGATATTTACCATCCCATTTGTCACTAGAGTTTGCTGTCTTGCCTTGAAAAACCACATATAACTTTTGACAGAGAATATGTAATCCTAGAAAAAAATTGAAAAACTTGACCTCTTCCCATATATATAGATATATATTTGCAGAACTGTACAAATCAAGGTTCCCAGCAGGCTGATGCTTTGCTCTCTTATGCAAGTGATTGCTCACAACCCTGTTAAAGGCAGCACACAGCTACCCAGTAGCCTGTTTTCTCATGGTGGGTCTGATCTTCAGGGATGCTGAGCACACATGGGCACACACTAAGACCCTCACCTGCTTTCCTTGGAAACAGAAAGCAAAAGATTCTATTCCTCGTCATGTTCATCAGCAGTATTTTAGCTGTTGGCTTCAGAGGTTGTGAAGTAAGATTTCCCAGTGCCGTCAAAGACCTGCTCTGTACACTGCAGAATAAGGTCCTGCAGTGACTAAGCTTGCAGGAGGCAAGTTGCTGACAACAGAGTGCTTTTATGTGGAAGTGGGAGCTGAATATGCCAGAGAGAGAGTCTGTCTTGTGGAATTCCTTTGCTCAGTGAATAAAACTTGGTCTGTACAGAGTGCAAGAGTTTATTTATTATCACAGTATTCTTGCTGCATGCCTGAGCAGCAAAGCTGCTAGTAACCACCTATTGAGAGGCTTTACCTGACTCAAACTAGCTAGTGTTTTTTGAATGTATCCTTATAGTATCCTGATGCTAAAGTGTGGCCAAAGCTTTAACATCTTGTTTGGTCTGAAAGAAATCAAACTATCCAATGTAAAACATTTTGTTTCCTCCTTCTGGAAATCTTTTCAGAGGTTGGCCGACTGTTACTACTTGAAGTAAGTTCCTAAACAAATAAACAAACACACAAGTGTATGCATAATATTTACATTCAATATGCAGATAACTCCGTGGGCAGGGAAAGGCTCATTTCAGTGCAAAATTCTTTTGCACTTTCTACACAACATCTGAGGTTGCTACAAAAGAAGGCTTGTTTTTCTTGTTTCCTATCCTGGTAATTCAAAACATCTGGTGCAATTTATGGCTGACAAAAACCAGCTAAGTAGAGACAGTTAGTAAGACTTGCATCACACAGGAACTTTTTGGAGTTATGAGAGTTTAGTTATAGGAACTGGGGCTTTGTGAGATGCTAAATCTGTGCTTTAGCAACCTAAGACCTTAACCCTTGGAGTAGCTGCTTAGCATGTACATTGTGTTACACTATGTCTCTGATACCTAGTTAGTAAAGGCCAGTTAAGATTTTTATACACAGCATGGAAAATGCAATTTACTGTTGGACAGAATAGCTGGGATTTGTGTTTCTGCATGTTAACTGCAGACACAGATTTTGAATGGTTAATCCTCATTACTTGCTTCATATTTTCGTGCTATGTACCCACAAACAGTGAGCAAAGATGCGTCAGTCAGGTCCTCTGTTCCCTCCCCACAGCAAAGCATGGCTTTGAGACCTCTGAGTGGACTGTAACCATGCATCACCCATACAGAAACATCTGGCATTTTAGAAAAGGCACAAGAAAATGGCATTTTCAGAAGGGTAAGATCCTGCTCTGCACACAACCCATAGAAGTCTATTCCCTAGGCAACTTTTGAGGTACTGAAATATATTTTAAAGGCCTAAGTCCACTGACATCTGCTTCTAGTCTGTGTAAGAACTGTGTCATGATCATGTTGTAATCTCCTTGTCAAGTATGCCTATAAAATACAAAATGTTAGAAACACTCCAGTGAAGTCAAGACCAGTGGAGAATTAAGCTAACACATCTATGTTGCATGCTATTGATGATGGATTAGCCTTTGAAAAGTCCTCTGAGTCTATCTGGTTCCTAGGAGACTTTCAGAAGAGCCCACAGGGTCAGCACATTGATTTCTTGATGCAGAGGAAAATAAAATCCTGCCAGGAAGAAGAAGGGGGACAAATCACTTCTACACTCCCTGACATCAGCCATCTACTGGAGTGCATGTTGACATCTCTCAATCTCTCCCAAAATGAAGTGACAGTATTTCAAAGATTCATTCAGCTATAGAGCACCACATTCTTTCCCACAGACAGCTTGAGTCTGATTCAGCTCTTGATCCCAGCTGACAGCCACTGCCCTCCTGCCAGGCTGCCTACAGGCTTGGTACAATAGGCAGCAGGAAAACAGAAGGGAGAGAAAGGGAGGAAATAAAATTAAATTGTAATTTCTTTTTTTTTTTCCCCAAAATGAAGAATGGAATTCTTTAACCTCTAAACATGCTTGTTTACTTACAGAAAGAGTATTTCAGGCACAAAAGGTTTGAGTCAGTCACATACAGGTTAAATTGAAATAGTATCAGAATTGTCCCATGCAGTGTAGTCAGCTATATTATCCCCTATCAAGAAGTTGAAGTTGCAGTTTTTGTATACACACATATATGTAAAGTATACGTCTTTCACACTATGCTCTCCTGGTCTGAGTTGATTCCGGTAGGGTTTATGTAACAACAGTATCTGTCATAAGGGCTGTTATCCTTGTAAGAACAGACAATGATACTGTCTTTAGGTGCCACAAAAATGTTGTCTTCAATGTCAGGGCAAGCGGTGCTGTCCCTGCTGGGAGAAGAGCTCTTCTTCTCCAAGGCACTGTGCGTGGAGCCATCTCCCACACACACAGTCTCCAGGGTCTGTGGGTAAGAGCTCTCCAGGAATTTCAGCATGTCCTCCTGTTCCGCTTTTTTGATGAGGCTGTTGCATTCTCCCATGATGGCAGCAGTGGTGGTGCAGACGAACACGGAATTCTCCTGACCCCGCAGCACTCTCCTGTCCCTCTGGTATGTTTTCTTGGCCAGTTCGTCACAACTCCCCTTGCCAGACTCCAGGTCTGAGGGGGTCCTTAGCAGCTCCATGACATCTCGGTCCCTCACTCTCTTGCACCGCGGACGCATGTTCTCGGGCCACTTTGTGCAGCCGTCGGTCTTTCTGGTGAGGGCAATAGCGGCGATGCCCGGCAGACAGATGGCCGGCCCGATGGCCAGCAGCGGGATGTCTCCCAGGGTCTCTCCCTTCATGCCAGACACGGTGAACATGAAGCCGAATACTAGGAAGACGCTGACCAGAGCCACCACCAGCCCCGTCCGGGGGTTGATGTCGTCGGGTCTCAGGGTCCGCGCCATCCTGCCGCTGGGCGCGGGGCCACTTTTCTCCACCGGAGCGCACCTCAGGGCAGGGAACAGATGCGCCCCGGCAAGCGACTCAAGTTTCCCAGACAGTGAAGCGCGGAGAACTCTGACAACTGGCACCACTCGCCTGCCCGTCGGTGGAGCCGCAGACGGAGGGCGGGCCGGAGCCGGGAGCCGTCCTGTCTCCTCCCTCCCTCCCTCCCTCCCTCACTCCTCGGAGCCGCCTTGAGCTGCGCTGAGGCGGGAGCGGCCCTCCCTCCTCCGGCAGCCCCGCCGCACCCTCACGAGTGGGCTCGGGGGGTTCAAACCCCGACAAAGGGCGGGGGAAGAGACACCCGGGCGTTTTTAAGCAGCCGGCGGGCGGGGAGCAAGGGGCCGCGAAGGAATACCTGCCCTGCCGCCTCCTCTTCCCCCTCCTTGTCCTCCTCCTCGGGCCCCGCCGGAGCCCCGCAGCAGCCGTGAGTAGGCGCACGGCCCCCGAGTGCCGCGGCGCGGGTGCTGCGGGGTCGGTACCGGGGGGTCGGCGGGGTTCCCCCACCTGATGGCCATCGCTGCTTGGCCGGCCCTGCCGCCCCTCCGCCCAGTCTTTCCCTCCCGAGTGGACCCCCGACCGGTGTCCTTCACCGGGGGAGTCGGCCTGCGCATCCTGCGTACGGATCCCCGCCCCGAAAGCCCCTGTCTCCGTGGGGACAGGGCTTGCGGACTAAATCGTCCCCCGAACAGACAGCAGTCTTGCCCCGAGTCCTTTCCTGAGTTAGGCACAAGTGGGGAGCAAGGCTTCAGGAGATGCTGTGCTGCAGCTGGATTTCATCCCGGAGGAGGCCCTTAGGGAAAAAGCCTCTCCCGGTGTTATTCGCTCCCCAAGACCCCAGAGTGAACTTAGACATCGGGATGCATCTCGCAGGGGTTTCCTTGGTTTCAAAGGTGTGCCGGCTGTGATGGTAATGTTCCATCCCTGTGTTTTGATGCACTTGGGTGATGGCAAAGTAAGCACCTCGAGGTGAATGAGTATAGCAAAGAATCTGAAATGTGTGGGAATGTGGAAATGCAGCAGCATGATCAGGAAGGTTGCCAGTGAAATAAAGGAGTAAATGCTTCCACCTGGGGAGAGATACTGGGAGATGAAAAGGAGTGATAGCAAAGAGCTTCCAAGAAAATTAAGATAATAGAAAAGCATACACTGAACTAAATTGTGAAACCATGCTTTCTCTAAGTTTTCCCATTAACATGATTCCTTTTCCTCATTCTACAAATTTGGAAAGATCAGAAAAGCCAAATTAGGAAATGCACAAATGCTCCTCAAAGTTAAGTCATGAAACAACCTGGATCTTATTTACCCTCCCTACAGTACAACATGAACAGAGCACGTCTGGCTTGTAGGTTTCTGAACTGCCCAAGAATATCCTTTCATTAATGGGAGTAGCTCCTGCCTCACAGGACCCTTTCTTCATAAACAGGATGTCAAGTTATAGCCTTTGCTGTTTAATTTGAAGGATGAGTAAGTGGGAGTAGAAGTATACACTGGGGAGAGTTATTAAGTCAGTGGCAGTGACCTGAGTTTGAGATTAAAAGTTTGTAATGGACCATGATCATTGTTTCAACTTGTACTCCAGAAGGTTGTCCAGTAAAATCCACACTGAACCTCCCACCTGTTGCTGCATGGTCTGAAATAGGAATAATTTGGACTTTGTTAGAAATACTCTTCTTGACTGAAAGACTTAAAAATCAAAACCTTTCAGTCAGATTTCAGCACAAGTTAACTTCTACTTTTGCCACTGTGCAGGATTTAGCAGTACAAGAAATGACAGTAGTGTCTTGGCTCCTGTTTTCCAGAGTGAGATTTTGCTGCTTGTTTCCATCTGCTGTTATTCAGATACACAGCTTTTATGTCTTCACACTGAAATTAATAATGCCCTTTTTATCCGTCTGCTGAATTCTGTAGGAAAGGAAGTGATTAACCTTCAGCCAGTCTGTCCCACATAAATAAAATATTGTAAAGTGTAAGTTATGAGCACTGTTGTGTTGATAACTAATGCCATGAAAGTCACCATTCCTGCTCCCTGACCTTCCTTCACCTCCCTTACTGCATTTGAGTAGTCTTTCAAAAAATTGAAGATTGGTCTTTAGTTGAAAAAAAACCTCTGATGCTTGGAAATAACAATTACCTGAAATTGTATTCATCAACAGTCCTTCAGAAAAAGAAAAAAATGCATCACTATATGACATAGAAATGTAAATATTAGTGGCATTAGTGGAGGGGAAAAATACCTTAAGAGCTGCAGTACATGTCAGAATATTTAAGAGGAATAAAAATGGCCCTTCAAATTTAAGTGACAGGCTTACTGAGATGGAAGAAAGAACATTGAAACAGAAAGCTATTAGTGGACAGAAGAATACAGAAAATGTCAGGATAAAGGTGGAACTAAATGCCTTCAATTTGTCCCTTTGTGAGTGTTTTCAAAACAAGATGTTTTCTTCCTGGGAGAGGGGGTAGGAGAGGGAAAATAAACACCCTGTTCCAGGAAATCATGCTACAATTGTTAAAATTGTCTTGCAAATCTAAAAATCAAGAGATCAGCAAGTATCACTTAACATAACTGAGCAACAATGCAAATAGTTGAATTTTCTATCCTGTTAATAACACAACCTCTTTCGAGGTGAAGCATGTTTCTGTGCTGGTGCTGTACAGAAAAATTAGGTACTCAACAACTTTTTTGCCTCAGTCTGCCATGGCAACCTCTCTTCCCACACTTCTCAAGTGGATGTACTGCAAGATGGGGACTGGGGCATAAAAATGGTTCCCAGTGTAATAGATCAGGTTTGTGATCACCTGAGGAACCTGAACACACCAGTTGATGGGATCCAATGAGACGCTGTGCTGGTTTTGGCTGCGGTAGAGTTAATTTTCTTCACAGTGTCTAGTATGGGGCTGTGTTTGTATCTATGCTGAACACAGGGGTGACAACATAAAGTAGTTTCTGTTATTGCTGAGCAGGGCTTACACAGACCCAAGGCCTTTTCTGCTTTTCCTACTGCCACACTGGTAAGGAAGTTGGGGGTGTGTGGGAGACTGGGAGGAGACACAGTCAGAACAGGTGACCCAAATTGATCAAAGGGATATTCCAGACCACATAACATTATGCTGAGTATATGAAGTGAGGGAAAGAAGGAGGACGGAAGGGACATTTGGAATGATAATGTTTGTCTTCCCAAGTCACCCTTATGTGTGATGGGGTCCTGCTCTGCTGGAGGTGGCTGAACACCCACCTGCCCATAGGAAGTAGTAAATTAATTCCTCATTTTGTTTTGCTTGTGTGCCTGGCTTTTGCTTTCCCCGTTATCTCAATCCAAAAGTTTTCTGAGTTTTACCCTTCTGATTCTTTGCCCAATACCGATGGTGAGGGAGTGAGTGAGCAGCTACATGGGGCTTCGCTACTTGCTGGGATTAAACCACGACAGATGCATCCCAGACTCCCAAGGGAATTGGCTGATGTAGTTGCCAAGCCACTCTCTACGGTATTTGAAAAGTCCTGGCAGTCAGATGAATTCCCAGGTAAGTAGAAAACGGGAAATATTAGACCCATCTTTTAAAAAGGTAGGAAAGAGGAAACTACTGACCTTTCAGCCTTCCTGGGTTGACATTTCCTATTAAAAGCTACACAATGCTGCAAAAAGAAATAGACTAAACTCACCCCTGTGCCTGGGAAGATTATGGAACAGATCCTCTTAGAAGCTCTGCTAAGGCACATGGAGGACAGAGAGGTGATTTGTGACATAAAGCCATCATGGCTTCACCAAGGACAAGTCCTGCCTAACCAACCAGGTGGCCTTCTATGATGGAGTGACTACATCAGCGGACAAGGGAAAGACTAGGGATGTCATCTATCTAGGCTTCTGTAAGGTGTTTGACATGGTCTCTAACAACATCCTCCTCTCTAAATTGGAAAGAGAAGGATTTGACTGGGGGGATAAGGAATTTTTTGGACAATCAAATCCAGAGGGTGGTGGTCAATAGCTCAGTGTTCATATGGAGATTGGTAATAGGTAGTGTTCCTCAGGGATCTGCACTGGGACAAGTGCTGTGTAACTCACTCTCACTGCTGGAGAACCATCAGCAGATTTGCAGTCAACCTGCTTGGAGTGGTTTGAGTGGTGCAATTGATGTGTCTGAGGGATGGGATGCCATCCAGAGGGACCTGGACAAGCTCAAGAATGGGCCCACAGGGATCTCATGTGGTTTAAAAAGACCAAGTGCAAGATGTTGCACCTGGGTCAGAGCAACCCCCAGTATCAATACAGACTGGGGGATGAACAGAACAAGAGCAGCCCTACCAAGAAGGACCAAGGGTGCTGGTGGGTGAGAGGCTCGACAGGAGCCAGCAATGTGAGCTTGCAGCCCAGAAAGCCAATTCTATCCTGGGCTGCATCAAAAGCAATATGGCCAGCAGGGCAAGGGAGGAGATTCTCCCACTCTACTCTACTCTGGTGATACCCCACCTGCAGTGTTGCATCCAGCTCTGGGGTCCCCAGCACAGGAAGGACAAAGACATGTTGGAGTGAATCTAGAGTAGGGCACCAAGATGATTAGTGGGATGGAGCACCTCTCCTATGAGGAAAGGCTGAGAGAATTGTTGAACCTCATGAGATTCCCATGGGCCTACTTCTCCATCTTGTGAAGGTCCCTCTGGGTGGCATCCTGTCCTTCATGTGTGTCAACCACTCCACTCAGCTTGGTGTCACCTGCAAGTTTGCTGAGGGTACACTCAATCCCTTTAACTAGGTCATTAATGAAGATGTGGGACCCCTGGTGGCCTAGTGGTTAGCGTGCAGGACTTTCGCTGCTGCGACCACGGGTTCAAATCCCGGTCTCCTGGCCTGATGGAGGTCGTTAGCCCTGTGTGGCCATCCATCTATGAGAAGGACACTCTAAACAAACCTACGTCCTGAGGACCTCACTGCCATTGTCCAAGCTTGCTTGGCCCCGGCAGATGAACCTTAGGATTAAAGGGTGGGCTCAGTTCAGCGCAGGCTGTGTCTCACCTAAAAAATCCATTGCGCAGGCTGGAAAGGTAAAAAGACCTTTCCCCAAATCTTCGTTCGCGAAGATGGGCCATTATTATTATTAATGAAGATGTTAAATAAGACTGGTCCAAAGTGCAGGCCCTTGAGGGACAG